CAAGACTATACACGCTGTCATTGCAAAAAGAAGTGTTCCACGAATAAATGCAGTTGTAAAAGCAAGGGACTCTTGTGCAATTCAAAGTGCCATAACAGTTTAAGTTGTTGCGATAAATAAGATTGTATAACGTTAATCACATAATTTATGTGTAAGTTTATTATTGTATTATTTTCTTTAATGATTAAGAATGTACTGTTCGTTTTAGGTTCAACAGTTTATTTAAATGTGCTGTTACGTAAGCTTTCTCCTATTTTCACATATTAAAATGTTGCATTTTTGTCTTAATGTAATAAAAGTATTTTTATTCAACATTCACCATCAGTGCATGCTGAATGTCGACATTTGCCAGTGTAAGTGAGAAATGATGACATGATATTTAGCAAATATTTCATACATACACAAAATGACTGTGTGAATGCTGACATTCGCCAGATATCGGTCATTCACAGTAACATACTTATTATATTAGTATGTTATTTACAATATCAATTTAAATATTTTCTGAAATTTTTAGAGCTATCTGACAATTACAAAAAAAAATTATCAAAGATTTTCAATTTTTGATTGTTTCAAAAGTAAAAATATAATAAATACATTAATATTGTTAACGTTTTTGTTATTGAAAAAAGTTGGGTGTGTTTATAATTTTGAAATGGACTGTATTGTTACATTGGATGAAAATGATATTATAATGTTAACTTATACAAAACTCAATTTGTTCAAAATATCAATAATGAGAACAAAGTTCAAATTAACTTTACCATTCTCTCTCTCCCCCCTCCTTCACAACAGAAGAGAAAGTGGGTGAAATGTATCATTGGGAAAGAAAGGCAATTCTCAGATTACTTCCATAAACTTTTGACATTTTGAAGTTAATTTGAAATTTATCCACTCAGCCACTGGGTTGCCCACCAGTGGCTGAGTGGAGTGGATAAAACCACTGAACACTGTTAATTAGTCATGGGTTTGTGTCTTACCAATGGGCTGACCATTTGAAATTTTCTGAGTTTTCTTCATGTTTGTGACACCTAAATAGGAACCATTTTCCCATAAAAGTACTCCCAGGAGGCATTCTCCTCGGCCAGTTGCTTACATGTCTCACGTTGCTGTCTAGTGGAAACGCTTGTCCCATCACACGTGTGTTACATGGTGTTTTGGAACATGTTCCACCAAACTTCCAGACCTGCATGCAGGGAGACAATGTTACAGAATGGACTAATTAATGCTCATATGTGAATTCAGTCATCTTCCACACCTGCTTATTGGAGATGGATCAGATGACCAAGCCAGCCAGCCAAAGTGGAAGTTCTGTATGGCTAAGACTGTCTGCATTGACCCAACCCATCAATGCTGTGTTGTTGAAATCTTACTTGTGCATCGGAAACTTGTTAAAATTGCATCAGCATTGTTCCGTTCCATTCTTTCACGTGTTCTTCCTATGCAAATTTTCATTGGATTATATCACATTTTAAAGGATGTTATAATTTTCCGTGCTGCAGGTTTGCAAGAATTATGAATTTGAGCCCTACATTGATTTCGTTTTCTTCCTATTCCTTCTAAAATTATTAAAATACTAACAAGACGACAATTTTACCTACTTTTAATCTAAATTTTGTACATTCCAAGCCACTGCTTAACTAAGATGACCGATTTGATATTGTTTGTTTAGACACATTTTATATAAAGAATAGTATTACGTAAAATAACATTGTTGTTAAAATTTTCATATGTTTATTTAAAATATATTTGTATAAAAATAGTAGTTAATAATTAACAGAAAACTTATCGATTGAAATTCTTCCTTTCACATTTCAGACCGAGATTTCTGTATATGTGGCCAAATGCCAGAATATCCGTAATGGGTGGCGAACAGGCAGCCAACGTCCTAGCACAGATTACTAGAGACCAGTATAAACGTGAAGGAAAAACAGTAAGTTAATCATCTAATCGTTATTGATAATTTACGGTTATTAAAGTATATCTTGAACGAATGTCAAATTCAGTTATCAGCGGAAGCAGAGAAGCAAATGAAGGATCCGATTATAGAAAGATTTGAAGACGAAGGAAATCCTTATTACGCATCTGCCAGGTAAGATACGGGAGATTTTCTTAGATCTACTTTTTTGCATTGTAAGAATCTCAAAAACGTGTTTTTTGTCTGTCAAGTGTCTCATCTTTTATTTTGAAAGATGAGGCATTAAATGAAAAATGGTGATTGAGAAATATAATTGAGTTTGAAATAAATTTTTCTGCAGTCAATTGGATTTTGTGCAAAATCTTTCTTTGAAACCATTTTGATTTTTCCAAATGGAATGTATTTTCTGTAAGTTAAAGTTTATTTTATGACCAAATGCTGGATGGGAGCAGATTGCATATTTCTGTGTGTCTTTAATACAAAAATCTTTGCCAAAATGTTATTTTTTGGAAAATCTAAATTTCCCTTGTCATTCAGTTTATTTCTGATTTTTGGCTTGAGGAAAAATGTGTAATATCAGACTTCTGCCAGAACCACCAGAAGAGCATTTATATTTTATAATAATGTGACAACAGCATTTTCTGACCTTTACATATTTAACAATTCAAAACAACAACACAGAACAGAATTAATATTCCATAAATTTACATATGCAACCTCTAGCATACATTTACAGAAAAGCAAGTATTCCCTGTAAATAGTTTGTATTTTTTGGAACTAGGTTAATGTCTTATTACTCTTGCAGATTGTGGGACGACGGCGTCATAGATCCCGTAGATTCCAGGAGGATACTGGGCCTCAGTCTGAGCGCAACCATGAACGCCCCCATTCCGGAAACAAAATTTGGAGTGTTCCGAATGTAAAATTTATACTAGAGGTTTTAAATGCAGATGCCAAGAAATGACAGAAAGATTTTTTTGTAATATAATAAATGCATTTTTTAAATTAAATTTGACTTTTATTCATAATTTTTGGTGAAGAACACATTACAAAGTTCAGTTATTGTACAGTTCTATTTACAAGAAAAACTCCAAATACAATTAACATATCTTCTGGCATGTAAAAATTCTAATTTGATATTATGGAGTGCATTTTTATTGCTTCACGTCTGCAGTTCCTTTTCGGTCGGGATGTCTAATTCATCTAAAAATTTCTCTTGTTTGACCGCTATCATTGAGTACGCATCTACACCAAGTTAAGGAAAATATAGTTTAAATCTTGGACATTATTAGAATAAACTATTGCCAAATTCACAATTTATCACATAACAATGGTGACAAAAATACAACTCTCGAACATCTGTAGTGTGACTTGCACAAACAAATTCTGAGTGAAATAGCTAAGTAAAATCACTACACTTTTGCAAAAGTACAGATTGTAGTATATCAATATCACAGCATTACATATGCTTAATTTTTCTGACAATCAAGATGTAACAATGTTCCACTGACATTAATTAAGATCACAGTATATTGCCTGTACCATTTTTTTCAGCACCTTGACAGATGTGTTTCAAAAACCACACGAGCAGACCGAGGAAAGCTTTTGAAACGCAATGCTGAATTTATGCGAACAAAATTTGCTACTGAAATAAATGAATGCAAAATGATAGACGACCCACTAGTACACCAGTACTCAACTTGGAACTAGTTGGATCCGAATACTCAGACCATCGCTCATTGTTTTCCTTTAATCTCTCGCTATATTTCCCAATTGACAATTTAAAACATTTCATTTGTCAAGGCTGAAATGTGTTAATTTTCATTTGAACTGCCACAAAAATTAATAATTTTTATTAACAAAACTATGTTGTATGCATGTGCATTCTCAACACAATATACAAAGTTGCCAACAGGGAGAATGAATTTCCAGATCCAGAAGTTTCCTACCAGGAGAAATCTGCTATAAGCGATTTCTCCTGGTAATACCAGAGCACAGTCTGTAAACTAACGTAGAATTTTAGAAAGTTGACTCCCGTCTAATTTAAGATATACTTCCATTTTATTAATCCAAAATGGCATTTTCTCACTACCAAGCGAACCATTGGGCTACTTTTTAAACACTTAAATGATACATCAGGCAATTGCAAACGTTCCAAACACCCAAACAATGCATTTGTGGATGAGGAACATTCAAATTACGAACTGTATATTACATTTTATATCTGTTGAAACTTGATGTCAGAATCCATAACAGACACTGTTATAGTTAACAAAAACTTTTATTTTAAACAAAAAGAAGGAACACTACAACTTCAGACATCTGAAGAAAAAAAAAAGGGTGGGAAGAGTAGAACAAAAAAATAGGATAGGGGAGCTTACAGCAAAAACGATGGCTGTACTATAGATTACCACCTATGGAATTTTGGGACTTCAAGTATATATTTGAACCCTGGATTGAGACGAGTTTAACGGTATTCTAGTTTTGGACCAGAGACAAAAAATAAGAAAGTTATCATATTTACAATTTCTTGCCTTTCACAGTGCTTTTTTTAATGGTTTGCAAACTTTACCGCAAGATGGTGGTACTGGATACTCGAGTGGTTACAAGATCAAAGTTTCCTTTGTAAAGTAAAAAAGTGTAATAGATGCAGATAATGGATGAAATTAGAAGTGTTCACCAAAGAGAAAGATAAAGGCAAAGGATGGGGATGCTAGAAGCACATACAGCAAAAACAAGTCACTTTTGGTACTTTCTGTCAGAAAGTCAGAATCTCACCACAGAAAGCAGTCATTTCTTGCCTTTCACGGTGCATTCCATGCCATTTCAGATTTTTCCGCCACCTAGCAGTGACGCTCATCTTCCAGAGGGATAGGTTAGGTTTGTTGAACAAGCTGCGAAAGCGGCACGTAGTACTAGCCAACCGCAAGCGAGAGCGAGCGCGTCAACAGCTGAGGGGCCGTAGGCCCCGAGGTCAATGAGCGCAGGGATATGCTAAAAGGACTTAACTCCAACTGCAGACAATCAGTGTGTTTGTGGATCAACATCTGCCTTTCTTGAAGGTATGTACAGCCGACTTGTCAGACTGCCTGCTAAACATGCAATAGGCTTAGTGGAGAGAATGACCTGACTCCCAATCATTGTGCAATTACCAGAAAAAAGTATGATAACTTTCTTATTTTTTATCTCTGGTCCAAAAGTAGGGTATCGTTGAACTTGTCTCGGTCCCGTGTTCAGATATATACTCACACTCCTGAAATTCCATAGTTGGGAATCTATAGTATCCCCAAACGTTCAGTGTTGCCACCAATCAACAGATCAAGAAAATGTTAATATTTTCCTTATTTTTCAACAATATCTAATGAAGGAATAACTCTCGAAAAAATGACACAAACACCTACTAAAAGCAAAAGAATTCTCATATGCCCATCAGATTCATAAAATTCACCAGTGTTTATTTAAAACTTAATATGTATACAATGGCAGTAACGTTACCATCATTTCGACGCCATGTTTGAAGTAATAGCGTCAATGCCACTGCTATTATTTCAACTTATCTCTCAAACAAACATGGCGTCGAAATGATGATAGAGAGAGTCTACTATAGTGCCATTTTACATAAAAAATTTCAATGAAATTTATTATATTTTTGTTTTTGGCTTAATCTAAATGGAATTTTATAGGTTAAAAGCTTTTCTGTAAATATTTATCATCAATAAAACTCAATTTTCACTCTTCTTCGACTTAAAAAGGATACATATACCCAGAACCGCTCCTCCAAGAAGCAAGCCAGTGCTTAAATTACGCTTTCTAAGTCTCTTTAACTTCATAACCCTCTCCACATTTTCTCTATGAACTTTATTCATGTAATATATTTGAGATCTCTGCTCGGGAGTCAAGTCTTTCTCAACATTTAACTTCGGCATGTAATCTTTGTCCGCCATCTTGAAATTCTGACGAACGTTAAGTGTTGCCAGAAAAATATCGAAATTTCGATATTAATTACGTCGTAGATATTAAGGTAGAAAAATGATCAATTCGTAAATAATTTGGAAGAAAATATTTTAATTTTTATAAATTATTTTTAAAATAATTTAAGTGTTTGCTACACCCCTCGAGACACGTTTAATCACGACGTTTGTAATTGTCGAAATTGCCGGCAATATGAAAGCTTGTTAGTTAGGATGCGATCGGATGGGTTCGANAATCCAAGTCGGATGTATGTAAGCTAATAAATGTTCTCGTTAATCTTATCTCATCTTTTGATTCATTCATGGTTACAAGAAATCACCATATAGAGTCTCTCGAGTCTCCGTAGATATAATAAACACAGAAATAAATAACACAAAATAAATTGTAGTTATGCGTCAATTCCGCGCGACACGTCCGAACATGTAAGCTGAACAATGGTGTGTGGGGAGTGAGTAATCGAGAGCTGCGTGCCGCTCAAACAAAAGACAAATCGACTAAATTTGAAAATCGCGTAACTCCTGGTTTGCGTAAGTCGGGGTAGCGTAAGTTGAGGTATTACTGTATTCGTGGATAGTATTCACCCATGTCTATTAAAGAGATATAGTTTTTAAATAAGGAATTTGTTTCAATTAATATTTGAAAGTTTAAAATGCTTGCATTTGTAGGCTTCAATAGAATTAATAGTTTGATTGGAAAAGGTTAAAGGGCGATATCAAGAAGAACGAAAACTCCATAAGACGAGAACAAAAGAAAATATTATTGAACTGCTATAAATATAGAGAAAACATCCATCAAAAATTAATCATTACATTGTTTTGCTGGAGATGTTTCTCATAACAAAGTCCAAAATATTAGTTATCAGTTTGTCCTCGGGGTAAAGCAGTAAAACAGAAGCATTTTTACATTTTTACCTACATTCAAATAAATGCTGTAGAAATATAAGGAGCCGACACATTTATTTTCGATTAGAAATTTCTTGAAACCATTTCATCTTGTCATCAGATTGAATACTTAACAAATTTGAGTGTAGAACTAGATAAAACACTTCTTAATGTTCCATCTGATGATGAGACAGAAGAGTCTTCATAAATATTTGATTGGAAATAAAAGGGGTTGACTTCTTAAATTTCTACAGCAATTGCTTGAATTTAACATTGACAGAGTTCTCATACGTGGCAGTGGTCACGTATGAGAACAGTTAGGTTCAGGATGGAGGGAAAAGTCGAGAGTAGTGTGCTGGAATTAATGCACTCCACTGTGCATTTAAAAGTTAAATAACAATTTATTTGTGTAAATTTATAAACTACTTTGCAAGAGCATAGAATTAATGGAAGAATCTGTGCCAAACTGAGAGAGAGATCATTTACAATTTCGGATGCAAGTTGATAAATACCTGGATGTGGTGGTGATCATGACTGTCTAGAAGGGAATGCTTGGTCTGGGTCAAGAAGGGTCTTATTTCATCGGTAATGTTCAGGTACTTGTTTGTCAATAAGAGCAATGAAAGTTTGGTGGAAAAATTGATGGTAGTTCAGGAACAGTGGCAAACAAATTCAGCAAGGAGGTTAACACACACAATTTAGGCAGGTGAACTCTGTGTTGTCATCTGTCTCCCCTTGCCTTTTATTTGGGGCCCTCCCCCTGCCATTCTAATGCCCATTTTTTGGTAAAGTTGCTTCAGTCTGCAATTTTTTTCCCATTTTCCTCAATGAGTAGGTTTTTGGAAGCTGTGTCATTCATGGCGCTCTATTCATTGGAAAATTTTACAAAGTTGGTGTGAAGTGTAATTCATTTTATTATGGAAACTACTAGAAAACACTTCTTTTCATTATTGAATACAAGAATTTTTTGGTTAAAGCAAAAAGCACAGCTTTGGTTTTTACTAAAGTGTCGCAAGGAAGGTCTCATCTCCAAATGCATAGCTCTTAAGTACGACTCGTTTCCTACAGAAGTTTGAATCTTGTTACCTCTAATTGAACAAAGTCTTCTAACAAAATTAAGAGCAAACGTAAAGCAATAGCAGAAAAAGAAAAAAGTTGTACCTGACCCATCTATGCTTTGTAAAAGAGTGTGATGCAAAAACTCTATACCAAGAATTGGATAAAATAAGAGATATAACCAACAAAAAAGCATGTGAGATCAGGAAAAAACTGAGCAAAAAATTTCATTGGTTACAGAAAACTTCTAGCCAAAAACAAACCAGTACAATGGAGGTTTCATATTACAACTTTGCAAATATCAAGTTACCAGAAAATATTCATCAAACATTAATACAGAGGCCAAAATATATACCTACTGCTAGGCTTGATTATTCACAACTCATTCCTCCCACCATGGTGGCCATAAAGAACACCAGCCGTCCAGAATTACAATCCAACTTGAAGCTATCTATGGTGATTACCATGGCATTGCAGCAATGTTCAAAAATGAGGAAAGTGAATATGATGACGACTCGGATAGTAAAGTCATTCCTCGCATCCGATCATTTAAATCTACTAATTGCAGATAAAGACAAAAGATTTGTTTTATGCAAAAACCAAGACTTCCTATCAAGAGCCAATGAATTCCTTGAGTAATCCAAGTCTATTATACTAAAACAGGATCCTATGACTACAATATTAAGAAAGACACGTAAAGTTATAGCACTTCCAGGAATTATAGCTTCCTTAGTAGATCCTCTCAATCCACCAATGAATGTTGCTTGCCATAGATTATTCTTCAAGGCCAAAATGCATAAAACTACATGGACTACATGGCCTTTAAGATCTTTAGTCAACAAATGCTCCCACCCATATACTACTAAGAATCTGCACTAGCAAAACAAATTACTGCTTTAATTCCACCTTCTGACTTTGTGACTGCTGCCTCTATGGATGCTAAATCAGTCATCTTAGACAAATTAGAAAAACCTTTCCACCAACTCATACTAATTGTACAAAATTGATGTAATTTCCTTATATCCATCAGTACCATATTTCGAGGCCGTCATGCTTGCAAATACCCTGCTGTTCAACTCTGGTATTACATTTGCGTGAAGCTCTCTTTTCATTACAAAAAACAATTACTTTTAATTTAATGGCAAAATATATAAACGGACACAGGGAGTACCATTATCACCTATTTTGGCAGAGCTTATTATGAGGAATATAGAACATTATATTTTCAATGCCCCTTGACCATCCATTATCCAATTATGTATTTATGTTATATTGATGACATACTATTCACACGGAAAAGTTCTAATGATTTACAGCAATTTATTCAATCGTTGGACTCTGTTTATCCTTCGGTCAATTTCACTGTAGAGGAAGAACAAAATGCCAGAATCTCATTCTTAGATCTAGAAATTCATACATCTCCTGATCTTCTATTTTCTGTTCATCATAGAAACAACAAAGCAACATGAATTATCCCTGCTACAGCCTTCCAACCGTTAAACTTCATGAATTCTGGTATATCATCCCTCATTCAGAGGGCATTCGTGCTCTCTTCCACCCAAGCACTAGTGGATGAAGAATTGCAAATCATTAACAAAGCAATGCAAACAGCTGGATATTCTCTTTCTAAATTTCATCTTCTCCAAAATTGTGTCAAAAATAACCTATTTCTGCAGTCATTTCTTAGTAACAAAACGGATCTAAAAAGAGCACATCCTCCGATACCATTTTTAGGCCCTATCTCTAAAAATAGTACATCTTTTTAGAAAGAATGGTTTTATTTTACCGATAACACCACAACCAACTCTAAGAAGACTATTATGCAACAGCAGAGATATATTTAAATTGAATGAAAAATTTGGGTCTATTAAATTCCACTAAAACATGCTCTATCAGAGAAGAAACTAGCTACATAGGGGCCATGGCCAAAATGTTTAGTTCTCGCATCCTAAAACATCAGAAGGATATCAGAAACAGTAGACCATCAATGGAATTAGTTAAAAAACTGTTTGACCAAGATTATCATCCACTCTGGGCCCAAACAAAATTACTCAAATGGTGCATCAAATAATGGACGGAGAACCTCTACATACCTGCTATAACACCGTGCAACACACCAACCCTTGAAATCCCACAATTATGGATAACATTATTCAAGCAATTCAATCTATAATTTTAATTCCTTTTCGCATCTTGCTATTGCTCACTATGTATTTTTGGGAAAATTACATCTTTCGTAATGCCATTCATAATTTTAGAACATTGCTCTATTTCAAATTCATTTTGGTATTCCATCCATGTGCTTTATTTAATTTCATAAAGCTGTTTGAAAGTTTAAAATTTGATAGCAGTTGTATTTGATATTTGTCTGATGATGGTAACTTTATGCTACTGAAAGTTCTAGCAAACACCCTTATACTCTAAAAGTGGCTACTGGTAATGCCACAACACTCAAATGTAATTATTATATATTTAAAAGTTGGCATGAAGTGTAATTCATTTTTATTATGAAGTTCCTTGACTGCATTTGTGAAATGGAGTACTTTTTCCCTTTATTTTTTTGACTAAAAAATTAAAATTGAAATCGTCGAATTTAACTAGCCAGGGTTTTCACAATTGTATACGTGGGGGGACCCAAAAATAACCGGATTTTTTGTATAAAAACTTTATTTATTAACTTTTTTACAAAATTCCTTCAGTCACCTTCAAAGTACTCTCCATTAGATGTGATGCACTTGTCAAGTCTTTTTCCCCACTGTTTGAAGCATCTCTGGAACTCTTCAACCTTGATATCGTCCAGTGCCCTTAGCGAAGCTGTTTTTATCACCTCCATATCATCAAAACGCTTCCCTTTTAGATTTTTCTTCATTCTCGGAAACCGAAAAAAGTTGCACGGGGCTAGGTCTGGTGAATACAGAGGTTGGGGAATGACAGGCCATCCCCGAGAGGCCAAATAGTGAGTCACTCGTAATGCCGCGTGTGTGGGGACGTTGTCATGATGAAGGAACCAGTCACCTGATCGCCAAAGTTCTGGGCGTTTCCTTCGCACATCCTCTCGCAGACGTCTTAACACTTTTTTGATGGATTTTTTCAATGTTTTCATTGTTTCAAGATGTTGAAGGACGCCCAGAACTTCGCAGGTGGAACAAAATAACAGTAAAAGAAACACAACACTATGCTCAAACGTAAACCTACAAACTGACGCCGTTTGCACAACTGTTTCTTGAAGGTCTCTACTAACCCCATGTAACAGGAGAACTCTCTACTGCGTCTACAAATGGCAGCGTGCTCTCAGTTTGGTTTTTGTTTGGGTCCCCCTTGTACATCATAAACATATCAGTGTGCTTTTGCAAAGGTGTACGGAGATGGAAGAATTTTATTTTTTACAGAACATCTCTAAATGTTTGAGAATCACCAGACTAGACAAATGACATTTCTTCATTTATCTTATGAACACTTCATATATTACAAAAAAGAATCTTTATAATTTAATTCTGTATATAAAATTATACATATTTAAATTAAGATTTTCAATTTTAGTGTGTAATAAATGATAAAAATCTGATTGCGCTTGTTTATTCGAATCAATTATTATTCTAAGTATTCTGGTCAAAATTAAAAATAAATCACAGCTTGGTGTCTAGAAATATGATAAAAGTTGTAAAATTAATACATATATTAACATGAAAATGTATATGTACAAGTCTATAGTTCTTTCCTTCGTAATTAGTCAGGATTGATAAGAATTGCAGTAGTTTTAAAATGACATTAATGATGGAATATACTTTTATAGGGAACACACTTCATTGAATTATGCTGTCAAAGAAAAATTCCGTTGTTATTCATTCAAAATATTACAGGTTGGACGATTTTATCATTTTATTGTTGTTATTTTTATTTTATTAATCTAATTAGAAATGTGAAATTTTAAAAGGTTTTATGGTTGGAAGGGAGGCTGAAGCAGAGGGCATTGCAAAGCACGGTGCCAAGATGGTGACGGCAGTTGCCTGTGCCAGAGTTCCCAAATTGACTTTAATCGTCGGAGGTTCTTACGGTGCTGGAAATTATGGAATGTGCGGAAGAGCATACTCGTAAGTTGAATTTTTCTCTTATTTGACTGTTCAGAAAAATTAATTTTATACACCAGAAATTCCATCTTTAATGCACATATCTATGAAATTTGTACAAATATAAAACTAAAAATATTACTGTAGTCATTCATTTCACACATCATCTCTACTAGCAATCTCATCCAGCATTTGGTTGGAAAACTTGTTTAATTATCATCAGGCCATTGTTTTTTGGTGTGATGTTGGTTTTTTAATCAAAGAATACAGTCCGTTTCAAAATTATAAACACACCCAACTTTTTTCAATAACAAAAACATTAACAATAGTAATGTACCTGTTACTGTGAAAGATTGAAATTAGAGAATGTCATTCTCCGGTGAATGTCCGAATATTTGGTTATATTATTATACATTCGAACAATCGCCGGTGTATGTCGACAAGCACAGATAAGCTTTGGTGGAGGTCGAAACGATACCTGAGAAGCCGATGTTGACAGAGAGGTGACAGTCTGTCGCCAAATCCTTTGTGGGTAGCTGGAGGTAGGACAAAGTCTTTTGATCCCATGAGGTGGGGATCGGTTTGTCAGGTCGAATGGCGGAGGATGAGAGGGGTCGTCAGTAAGGCGTCTGCGATATCTTAATAAAAGACACCATTAACAGATCAATTCGTAATCACATAATAACGTAATCAGTTCGTAATTTGTAAAGAAAAGTTACTTTTCATAGATGAGATTTCTTCTCAAGAAATATCACTGAGAGAAGCAGCTGCAGCTAATTCGAAAAGTGGAGGGCAAGACTATACACGNACAAATATAAAACTAAAAATATTACTGTAGTCATTCATTTCACACATCATCTCTACTAGCAATCTCATCCAGCATTTGGTTGGAAAACTTGTTTAATTATCATCAGGCCATTGTTTTTTGGTGTGATGTTAGTTTTTTAATCAAAGAATACAGTCCATTTAAAAATTATAAACACACCCAACTTTTTTCAATAACAAAAACATTAACAATAGTAATGTACTTGTTACTGTGAAAGACCGAAATTAGAGAATGTCAGTATTCTCTGGTGAATGTCCGAATATTTGGTTATATTAGTATACATTTGAACAATCGCAGGTGTATGTCGACAAGCACAGACAAGCTTTGGTGGAGGTCGAAACGATACCCGAGAAGCCGATGTCGACAGAGAGGTGACAGTCTGTCGCCAAATCCTTTGTGGGTAGCTGGAGGTAGGACAAGGTCTTTTGATCCCGTGAGGTGGGGATTAGTTTATCAGGTCGAGTGGCGGAGGAGAGGGATTGTCAGTAAGGCGTTGGCGATATCTGAATAAAAGACACCATTAACAGATCAGTTCGTAATCACATAATAACGCAATCAGTTCGTAATTTGTAAAGAAAAGTTACTTTCCATAGATGAGATTTCTTCTCAAGAAATATCGCTGAGAGAAGCAGCTGTGGCTAATTCGAAAAGTGGAGGGCAAGGCTATACACGCTGTCATTGCATTAAGAAGTGTTCCACGAATAAATGCAGTTGTAAAAGCAAGGGACTCTTGTGCAATTCAAAGTGCCATAACAGTTTAAGTTGTTGCNAGACACGTTTAATCACGACGTTTGTAATTGTCGAAATTGCCGGCAATATGAAAGCTTGTTAGTTAGGATGCGATCAGATGGGTTCGAGTTCGATTCTAATTAAGGAACAAATTTAAATCTTCTTTCGGGAAATTCCTGTTCGAATCCAATGTCAACTTTTATCATTTATTGTGAGTAATTCTGATCCGGATTTCGTTCTGTCTTCCTTCCACGCTGGCCTACTCCATTATGGATCGGGCCTCTGTATTGGACAGAATTCAAATTATCCTAATTTCTTTTTTTAATTTTATATGCTTGAATGTAATTAAAGTATATCAGAAGAGAAATCATATAATTGGATAAAAAAATTTATCCTATTCTTCCAGAAATGGATTGACTCGACATATAGTCCCTGCAAATTTCTAATGTTTTCTTCAATCTCTCTTTCTCTTACATATCTTATGAGACATTTTCGATCCATTTTGTTACGTTTTCCTCTTATTATTCTTTCTCCAATTCTTGTAGAAAACACTCAAACTATTGTAGTTTTCTCGTGTATCATATCAGTTAATATATATTAACAATTTCGCATAATTAAACTTTTTCCTAACGGTTGTATCTAATTTTCTCAAGCATTTCATTTCAAACTCCCCGATCTTTGCGCCTGCTGGGTTGATAGTACAAGGCAACACAACACTTGGGAGATCTGTCAAAGGGGATAGTGCCTCCCGGAAGAGCTTTTTGTAGGAAATCTTCTCGCGGTATAATATCTAAACAGGGGCTAACCCTGTTTAGATTATACGCCCGGAAAACTCTACCGTTTCTCTGGTACGAACCCGCTACTTGTTTTCGGTGGTTTTTATCCACTTGGCAACCGGAGGGCCGTATTACATCTAGTAATACTGTACAATTAAATAAGTTGTTTTATCAGCTATACATTTTCAATTATAAGGTGTTAACAACCACTTAAGTTATTAAATGTTTAATTGTGTGCTTCACTGAGTTAATTACTTAGCAGATTATAACAATGATAAATACGAGTAGAGATTACGTGTTATCAACGTGACAATTATCTGGAGAAGGCATAGACGCGCAGGAACTACCGTAATTTCAATGCTCTATCAAATTACCTTTTCAGATGATAAAACCATTTTTATCACTTTTGTGTGATTTTTTTTTAATTGAATATAATTCAACTCGAAGCTGCAATGAACTTAAGGTAGGAAATTTCTCTTTAGTCATATTTAAAAATTATGTTTTCTAATGATGATAAACCCTATCTGTTCTAATTTTTCTCTGATTTAGGCAAGGAAAATCTATAAATAGGTTTATTATCGAATTAATAACAGTTTATTCTAACAATATCTTGTTACTGTACTATTCATAGTAACTGTATGAACTGGACATCTTATCCAGGAACGATATTACACTGATTATCATAATATATAAATACAATTTACTAATCTGGTTGAGGAATTACAAAAAAAGGGTCAGCTGTTATTGTGTAAAACGAGTGATAATGAACGTCATGTGATCAGTAAAAACCTTGAGTTGCCAGTAGATACGATTAGAGAAAGTGTTGTTTGTCATAGAGTCAAGTTGCTATTACTGTGATGAAAAATTGGCTCCTGATGTGAGTATGACTCAGATTTTCTTTTATATTTTAATATAATGAATTGCTTCAAATGTTTTTTTTTTAATTACACAATAATAGCTCGTTAGTAGAAAATAGAACTATAAAAACATTGAAATTAGAACTCTTTTGGCTTATAGTTAAAGAACTACTCGCCACTGTAATTGCTGATTTAAATTAAGAAAAATGGGATATAAATACGTATTAATTTGTTTAAAAATTCACTTAATTAGGACTATCTACGCGTATTTTATGCGTGGTGTCTATCGAAGTGTAATGATTCAGTAGCCATTGTTTCAGTTTCTTTAAGGTTAATGCCATCATTTCTTTGTTAATCCAAATTTAGCACAGATGTAACAGAAATATTCTTAGAAAGATGAAATAATATCGAAAAGAAATCATTCGAAATGAACAATTTTTACCAGCGATCGTGTATACTCAATAAAGCCACAGATATTTAACATATACTAACAGAATTACTCATTATATATTCTGCAACTTATTCTGAATAAAAATCTAATTTTAAACGTATTTTTCAGAAATTAATAAGCTTTCTACTACGCATTTAAAATTTCCGTTTATGTTAAAATTGGAGTCTTGGTCATATCCTAAATTAAACTAAACAGGCGTAAACAGATTTTTTTGTTTGATTATGTTATTGATTGCTAGTAGTTACTATGCTAATTTTAACATTGAGTTTGTAAACTTTTAGGAAAAACAGAATATTTTCTAGCTATAAATTATGCCATTTTTTACCGTTTATTAACGATTAAACGATACTAAGCTGTCAGAATCCAGGCTTCGTTCTGACCTTAATAAATTACCGCAGACGAAAATAGACTTTAAAAAAACAATTAATCACGCTGAAATTCTTTTTGATAAGTAATTATTTCATTCTAAAATAGAAAAAAGGTTCAATTCTGTGCCAACTGTAAGCTTATCAGGTCAATTTTTCTTGTTTCTTCGCTGACGGACAAATGCCAATAAACTACTGTCGTATGTAGAATCAGCAGAATTTTTTCTGACGTTCTTCCATTTGTCAACATTTCGGATTTACAATAATAATAAAAAATGGGAAGAAAAAAAACGAGTTTAAAAAAACGTAAACAAAAACACGTGTCAGAAACGAAATCGATTAATATTCCCATCACGTGTTTCTGACATCACTTCCGCATTTCTAGTAGCTTTCTATTTGAATGGAAGAAATTAAAAGACAGAAATAATTCCTACGTTAAAATATAACGATTCGGTTTAAATAATTAATTATTTTAATTTATATAACATTTATATAAGTTACATTTTAGGAGTTTCGTAACGCTTTAAAAACTTTCTTAAGTAACCATTCAGACAAACAATGACGTCATCGGCGACGAAGCGAAACTTCGTCACAAGTTTAGTTTTAAGTTTATTTTCGTTCTCTTTTGTCAGAATTAATTCCAAGTTTTATACTTACCTCAAACGTTTTCTACGAGGAAATAAAAGTATTTGTAAAATTTGGCAAAAGACGCGAAGAAAAAAAAAAAAAAAAAAAGAAAATGTTGAAGTGGCAGACGACATATTGCACGAGACTGACGCAGACGATTTTATTGCACGAGACGAGTGCGTATTACGTAACGTGCTAAATCGACGCAGACGATATTACTGCGTATTGGTTCGACGTATTGCACGAGATGAATGCGGATTAGCGCACGAAATTTAAGAAACAGACGACATTTTACAAGAAATGAACGCAGATTAGCGCACGAGACTAACGAAAGACGAGATATCGCACGGGATTTATAAACAGACGAGATATCGCACGGGATTTATAAACACGAGATTTACAGACGAGATATTGCACGGGATTTACGAACAGACGACATTTTGCATCAAACAAATGCAAACGATATTACGCAGCAAACAGAAAAAACAGAGTAAATTCACCCGCAAAAAAACGCGCAGACGTAAATTAAGCGAATTTAAACCCGAAAATAAATAAATCTCCGAATAATTTGCGAGTTATTATTAGTTTATGAAGCTGCGTAAAAGTTCAGAGACCGAAACAGGGGATGATAGAGCAGCTGGTTCCTCTCCACCATCCATTCTATTTTTAGACCAAGATGAGCAAGCATTTCGAGTTAAGTCAGCTGCTTAATAGCATTTCTGGGGGACGTGGACTTGCTTCTCTTTCATTCTACGTTTATCTGCGCTTCGCTTAGTACAGAGTTCAAAAACAAGTCGAAATAGTTCATTTGTTTCTTGTCTGTTAATCTCTGTATCGTTTGTACTTCTTTGAAAACAGATATTTACATTTAATGCGGAGACATGGCTCGTGTGATACCAGAGAAGATAAATAGGGACATACAAGGTGAGTTTCATCTTAATTATCATTTACACCTAATTATAATTACTGTTGATTTGACTGTTGGTTGTATGTCGTTTAAGTCATTTACAGAACTTATTCGTAGTGTTAAGAAATGTGTATTGATTATCCTCCGTCCGGTCCATTAATCTGATTAATGGACCGGACGGAGGATAATCAATACACATTTCTTAACGGAGGTTTTGTGAGGCCCTGGAGAAAAATTACAAGTGGGACCCCAAAATATTTGGTAAAAATAATATTTTTTTTAAAGTGTGGGGCCTTGACGTCCGAGCCGGTCCCGTGCCGTTTTCTAAACAAATGTGTAAGAAAATTGACTCTAAGACGGGCGGTTTGTGTTGATTTTACATTTGCAGAGCTTCCTTAACGGGTGTGGTATGTATGTGAGTATGTTATGTGTATATTTATATACCACTCTATATACAGTATATAGGAATTTCGGTACTTTTCTGTTAATTGGGCGCCAGTCGATAAATGCAGTACAGTGTAAAGAAATAGCTATTTTATTATGACGACATCACTTGTCAGATTACAATTACAACTGGCATCCCGTTAACAGAAAAGTACTGGAATTTCTGTATGTATTCGTATGGATTTTACAATAATACAAAAGACTTCAGTTAATGGTACTTATGTGGATTGGTAGATGCCGAATAAATGTTTGTTTGCTCGAGAGTTGTTATTAAAAATGGGCGTAACTAAACTGTATTCCGTACCATACCGTAAACTATATTGATTTGGTATTAATATAGTAATTAAAAGCAAATTAAGACAAAGACAAAATTAACTTAATGCAACAAAGTTTTATTATGAAATCAGCTTTGTGAACAATTGTGCAATTTTAGTGGGAGGAGTGGGAGATAAACTTGGGGTGAATGAAGCTTGGGCTTACTCACCATGCGGCATGCCGAGTTCGAACTTACTTTTTAGCTGAATTTTTATTTTACTGGTTGCTTGAATTGTGTTTAATGGAGTCTACTGTACGGTACATTTAAATGTTGCCGGTTCTACTCTGCTGCTATGGCAACATGGGGTGCAGAGAGAAAATGGTCACAATATATACACTATTTATACACTGATTAGCAAGCCTGTGATGTGCCAAAACTTCTTGCACAGAGTGCAGATAAGGCTAGAGCTAGTACTATATAAAAAAAGATAGAATTATAAGAATAAATGTATTGGATATCTGATTAAAAATATATTTCTGAGTATAACCAACTTACTAAACATTTTATTAAACTAAGTATCTTTTGATTGTAACTCATCCTAGACTGCAATTTCTTACTAACTAAACACACTCAAGAAAACCTTTAAATATGCAGCCGTATTTATTAAATTCTAACGTTTTCGGTCATATTCAATGACCTTTCTCAAGAAAAAACCGGAAAAAATCGAACTTTTTCTTGAGAAAGGTCATTGAATATGACCGAAAACGTTAGAATTTAATAAATACGGCTGCATATTTAAAGGTTTTCTTGAGTGTGTTTAGTTATCTTTTGATTGTTTTTGTAAATGTGAGGGAATATAAATGATCTGTGTTTATTACATAATACGCAAGTGTTTCTACATTAAGTATATTTAAATCTAAAAATGCTTTTATGTTACATAAGCTGTATATACAGGATTCTATTTATAATTATATAAGCTTCTCTATGTACTTTTACAATTAATATTGTCATAAGGAAGTGATTATATGTGTCTTCTCTCTAATAATATATGTAGGTTTGTATGCTGAGTGGATTCAAGCCGAAATTTATATTCACTATCTCTCTCTTCTGTATAAAAAAAAATAAACATATCCTTTACAAATTATATAATTTTGCATTTTAAATAAAATAAACCTGATGTTGGTTACATAAAATAATTTTTTGATTATTTTAAGATATACGATGGTAGGAAAAGTAACTGACAATGTCGAATTAAGGTCTGGTTTGTCTCTCAGTGTTCTAAGTTTTGTACAAATGGAGTACAAATATATATATTTTATTCCTACAGTTCTTACTATTATATATATATATATTAAGTAAACAGTACAGACCATATTCTTCTTGTGTTAACACTCAAAATAATAAGTAATGTTCGTCTCTAACCCATTAGTTTATGTAATGGTCTATCTCTCCGAGTTCCTTCCACTTTATCCTTTATAATATTGTAATCTGTTAATATTTTTGATTAGTTCTGTATCATTTGTTTATTAAATTGCTTATCTATTTATGTGAATTGTTAGCATTCATACAAAAAATGTTAATTTTTAAGTATTTTAATTTAATTTTACTTGGTTTCAAAGCACTCAAATGTGAATGTATTCCAAATATCTGCGACACAACTTACTTGAATGACAGATATTTTCAGAACAGGTGAAAGATTGTTGTTCTTGAATGACAGTTATTCTCAAAATAAGTGTAAACTACTCCAAATCTTTCAGTTACAGTTATGTTTCCTAAGTAATAAATTTTAAAACTGTCTGCACAAGTTGTATAACAGAAATCTTTTGTGTGAAATCATTGCCTTTTGTAGCAGTAAATTAATGTTTATACGTTATTTACACACTTGCGTTACTTGCGAAATATTTAATTTTGTATCGGTTTATTAAGACCAAGGATAGATTAAACTGATAAAAAAGTAGATTCTAGCATAGAGATAACATGTGTACAGTCTTTAAATGTTTTTACATTTTTGTTTACATCAAATTACAAACAGCAAAGACAATAACATGCAGTAATAATGATAACAGCTTGTTATATAACTATAAAAACATATCATAAAATTCTATTGAAAACTTCTGATATTATTTGTTAGCATGTGATATTAATATATCAAATTTCAAATAAATATTTGTATGATAAATCTGAAAAATATTGCAGTAATAATACTATTTTTTTAATATAATAGTCTTAAAAAATGCTTTAAATAATTAGGTTCATTTAAATTGTAGTAATGAGCTAATACTTTAAAAAATCTATAAGAGTTTATACATAGAAAAGGCAATAAGGTTTTCGTTTGGAATTGGATGAGAAGCATTGACCTTTTGACTGTACCTTTTTAATTTCGGAACAACATTCTCTGGTGCCAGATCTGGATGATAAGGAAGTTGCAGAATAACCTGTTACTTCTTAAGCATCATTGTTTCCTTACCACAGTGTAGTCTTCTGTTATTGTCAGAGGTGGACCTACATAAAGGATACTTAGGATGTTGCAAATTTGGTTTTATACTATTGCATCTTCAGGAAGATCATTTTCAAAGTTAAAATTGATTAAAACGATCCCAAGAATAATATGTCAATAGCAACTTTCTTAACTTGCAATCTAGTCCAGTGAAAGCAATACTGCTGCAGAATTGGACATTTTTCTGTTATTGATTGCTTTTCTGCTTTTAGCATCACTGAATTAAATTTATAGGTGAATTTCTGAATTGAATTCTTCAATTCATCGTAAAACTATTGCCTTATTGTTTGTTTTACTGTCTTTTAGTATATTTAAATAAATTCTTATTATCGTAAACAAATGAATCTACTCTCTATTTGCATTTCTCTTTTTAATGGAACTCATATCTAGAATTTGTACTTAGCAGAGCATATTTGTAGAGTATATCTAGTATTTGTAAGGCAAATCCTAGATATGCTCTAGTTATTGTGGTGCAAAAAAAGACGGTCCATCTTGGTGTTAATCTACAGATGTTGATACATCTGTTGAGTGTTCATAAAGTTTTATAATACACATACTTGTAATCTGTGGATTTTGGTAGGCATACAACTTTCCAAAGTGAAAAACTCGTTTAGATTGTTGTTCTGTATGGAATGAAAGTAACGAGTTCATGTTTAAAGTTGATTTGTTATGCAATGATACAACGTAAATTGAAATTTCACACTCATGTCTAAGAAATGGTGATGTCACGTTTCTCTTCCCAAACTTTGTAGAATGCTGCGGTAGGAGAATTACCAATCAACTTTTAATTTTTATTGTGTTATTTCTTTATGTAAATTTTTAAGTTAAGAAGTGTACAGTTTATGGATTGTAATTATTTTTGTGTTTAATTTCTTTCCAAATTACCCACTAAAACTGATTTGGTTGATCTTGCTTAAGTGATTCGTATTTGACATGTAATCCCTTATTTATCATTTGGAATACTTCAATGAATAAAAACAATAGACTCATTGCCAGAAAGGAAGAGACGATGCATAACAAATCAGTCATCACGGTGGCTGTTGTATTCTCTGGTCCAATAGGCAGCAATCCACCTCGACTGTATGCTATGCCAATTCCGGTTGTGAAAATTCCAGTTAGTCAGGTTAATGAAATTAAAAGACGGAGAGTATGTAACAAGTGTAATAAGAAACTGTTTGCAGGAAGAGTGAAGTGTCCCTACTTCTAGCCTCGAATGGTGTAAAGTGCTAAATCGTGAAGGATAAATCTGATGTAGAGTAGTTGATGGTAATAACGCAAATAACGATGATCTAACGGTTAACATTAGTTGGATAAGTGACTTCACAAATAATCTCCTTCAAATAGTGTGTATCCCTGCTGTAAGAAGAGAACAAAAATTGGATATAAAAAAGTATTTCTTATAATAAAAATTTTACTAATTATTCTACATTCCCATTTAGTTCATAAAATTTCATCTGTTTTCTGTGCGTAATTTTGCCAAGTGTATTGTTAGGCTCGGCCAAGCCTGCTATGGGGCAACCAGTAGCGAGAGAAAAGGTCCAACGTGTCTTGGAATACATGAATGATACGCATATGATTTAAAAGGCATATCACATGTATTTGATATGCTTTCTCATTGTAATTCTTTCTCACCTTTCCATTTAATTACTATTATATCTCGATTGCTCTCCTGCTTTTAGCATCATCACAATCTTATTTTATCTAAAGTATATATTAGGTACTATTTTTCAGTAGTTACTTTTAAAATGCCAGACTCTTTCTACTGGATATTCTGTATTTCTATCTGAAATTAGTTTATACACTAAAATTCTCTGTCCAATAGTGTGAGCAACGTATGTATCATTTCTATTGTTTAAATTATCTATTTACAATCTGTCCTCAAATTTTGAATTCAGATAATCCCATGTTTTCTTGATTTATCTTGGATTTTACATGTGAACTTTAATACTATACTTATCGTGGACCTCAAACAAACTAACTTAAAAATACTTTTGCTATTGCGTAGTCTCAAATTACGAAATTACAACTCCGAAACACAGATATCAGTTAGGTTTCGAAGACTAGATGCACGTTTATCTGAATATTCTTATCAAATAAGTTTATGATCTACGACAACCCTTAATATTATTCATTGAAGCATTCCTAACGATAAATGAGGGATCAAATTTCAAATATGAATCATGCAAGTGTGAATGGTTTGTAACTATTACTTTATAATGTTCCGATTTGATAATTGTCTATTAGAAAATCGGTGATAATTGTGTAATAAAATTTAGTTTCTATGCATAGTTTTTATAACTCAGTTTATGCAATTATTGGCATTTTCAAACATTGATTAATTATTAGAGTAATTTGTTGATGGAAAATAAATATTATATTTCAGTTTGTTTTCGTCGTATCAAGAAAATTTTTAATAGATTTCTTTATTAATAAAAAGCAGTCTTAAAGGTTTAAGTTTCTGTTAGTTAAAATAATAATAATTTTATTGAGGTAGGAATCACTACTGGTCCCTAATTTTGTCTGGGCCTGGAGGAAAATCCTCAGCTTCACTCAATGGCCCTGATCGTATGAGTTGCAAGAAGAATGATGAACCACTAGGCCCTGTTTCATCATTCTTCTTAATCCCTTTCTGTACTTCGTCATAAAAATACTTTCACTTATATTTAGGTAAAAAAATTCAGGTTTATTCTATTTTAAAGTTTGTTAAAGTTACGAAATTTGTAAATGTTATCATAATTTATTAGTTTTTTATATAAGCAGAGGATGAAGGACGGCGAGTGTAATTTTATACCTATTGTGTCCTTTCTTGGTAGCCTGTACCTGTCACGACTACATCATATTATTTGCATTTTCTGAAAGTTTTTCTAAATTAAGATGGTTATTTATAGGACATAGAAAAAAAACATTAAGAATCTATATAACTGAAGTCAATATTTTCTATTCTTACTTTTATGGTATTAATTATAATAAATGAAACCTATTAGTGAATAGAATAATATAAGAACTGCAGCAATTATTAACGTAATAAAACACTTCGGGCTTATATTTTTTTAATTAATGCAACCTTGAAATGTTTTATCTTGTTAAAAAGAAAAAAGAGTTGAAGAATGCCGTCTAAGATTATTTTTTTCGAATACTTCGTAATGAATTTAAATTTTCATTAAGAAACAAAATAAAACTCGGAGTTATTTTCAAAATTAAATTATGCTATCGTAATATGATAGTTAAACATTAGCAAATAGAAATGCAATGCTAATATATAAAATACAATACCATAGTGTAAAATATGAGCGAAATGCAGTATACAAAACCATAGTGTGAACGAATTCTATCGTCTTAAAATTAAGCTTTAAGTAATTGAAAATTTTAACAATTATTGTAATGAATACTGGCTTTTGAGAATGAAATGCTTTTAATATTAAATATATTGTCTCGCCGTAACTGCCTTAATCTTAAATTACGGCTATAGTAGCAATTTTTTAAAAATAAATTTTTATCTGTATCACAGATTTTAAAAAGAAAATTTTATATCATAAAACAAATATCAAATTTTTCAAAAGTAAGATGGATGCACAGTCTTAAACTCTGTAAGTGATGGTCTGATATTGATAAGGTTGCGTACTTTTGAAAGATATAATAATTTTATATTTTACAGATATTTTAAACATATACGACTACTACATCATTAAGTATTGTATTTAAAAATGTTTATCAATGTGAATAACTGCTAAGATATTGATGCAATTTTGTTATTTTCTTACATTTGTCATTGGATTTTTAATTTATCATAAGGGAAAATTGTAAAAATATTTAAATTTAGAAGAATTAAAAAATTATATTCTAAATTCTAGTAGGAATAAATTATCAGTAGAGATAATTTGTTGTAAGCATATAATTTTGAAAAATTTAAGACTGTTTCTAAGATTATTTACTGATAGAAACAATGTTGATAAACAATTTCAGATTTTATTGATAGAGATAAACCAGTACAATGAATCATTGAACACATACTCTATTTTTATTGGAATGGAAAAAAACAACAGTTCAAGATAACTATATCATAATTATATTGTATCAATAAACACAAGGAAAATTCCATAAAATTTAAAACTTAAATAATATTTATTATAATGTAGTGTTTAGTATAATGCAAATGTTATGATTTTTATAATAATGGATATCGCTCGTTAATAAAATTTTATTTGTTTTATGTAGAATGTGTTACCGAGTTAAGAAAGGATTTCTTCGAGAACAAGATTCCAATTAATGATGACAATGCAAATCTTCACAGATTTTGCTTTAAACTGGAATTTTTGTTGCAGAATGACATGAAAGGTAAGCAATTTTTTTAAAGTAAATTGAGCAATAACTTTCTAAAAATATTAATCGAATTTAGAGGAAAAGTATTATTTCATTTTCATAAACAAAGTTCTACAATTTGATAATGAAAACATAATAAACATTACACAATATATGCACATTAACTGACACACACACACTGTTAGAATGAATTTTGGATCATTGAAATAAATGACAATGACGTATAATAAATAATCTTATCGACTCTGCAGTTATCCAATGCTGCTGAATAACTAGAAAATCAGAGCCGAATAAAATCATTTATCACACTTCAAAAGTTCTAGATAAGTTTGTACAAAAAATCTTAATTTCGTTGATTAAAAGAATCATTATAAGTATAGATAAACTTTATATATCAAATTTTTAAAATTAAAGTATTGGCTAAAATGGATTAGATTAATTATCATTTCAGATGGGTTAGTATTTGTATAAAATATCACGAGTAGTTTCGGTAAGTTAATGTTACAGTTAATACAAGAAACATTATTCAATTTGATGCATTTGTATTTAAAATTAGATTGTATTACTATAATGTTTGATGGCTCTTTGTTTACTAAAGACATGATTACTACAAAATAAGACATACTGATATTATGAATGAGTTGCTAACTGTATGACTTGAGTCCTTTAGCTGTTTTTTGACAGTATTATTCATTTTTTATGATCTGTAGTTGACTTTTTTTTGTGTTTTTCCTTCTAACACATTAACTTTGTTCTAGATGTTCATGCTATTGCAAATTATGGCTAATGAATAGGCAGTATGATTTCATACACAGTTAAAGATACTTTGAATTGTAAAAAATGATTTGATTAGCTTATAGTGCAAGACAACCTTGATTTGGCCAAGTTAAATGATATTACAATTAAATAATAACATTAAATTCGATTGATTTCTCTTATGTAGTGCTAATTTTTAAAGGCAAAAAAGACTTAATTTTGAGGGTAGAGACAAGTTTTTAAAATATTGTAAATATCAATACCACTTAAGATATGACATATTATCCCTCTTTATTTCACCACACTCAAGTTTTATACTCCAAAATTCAATATCGTCAATGCTGCTATGCAAGTTACTATGCCAAATTTTGTTTCTTAATCTTTACCCTATCCTCAGATATTAAGTGAAATAGACACCAACATACACATACACACAGAATTTTCTTGCTGTTCTTATTTTTTTGGATTCAGGGGGTCTGAAAACGTGGAGATATGCAAAAAAACTTAAGGTCAAATTTGACACAATTCCCTTACCTTCCCTTATGTATACATAACAGCCAGAAAAGTAAAAAGAAAAAGGAACTAACAGGGAAACAAATCACTGTATTTACTTAAAATTAATTATATAGACTATCAAACACAGATAAGTAATATTCTTACATATAAACATTGTTTGTAAAGTCATTTTTTGTATAGTCAATATATTTTATATCAACATAACATAGAACATGTCTTAAATATCTAACAGTAAATTTATAGTTTATCCTTTAGGATATAAACTATAAATTTCAAATTGATTTGAAATGATGCAGTAATGAGTTTAAAATCTTCCATTTTATCTTTGAAGTTGTTCAGTATGACTCGATTGCATATAGAAATAATTGACTATTATAGGAATGTGCAACAAGAGTTATGAAAACTTCAACAGATTGGTAACTTAATTAGCATCTCTTCCCTGCAAAGTTTGAGAGTTTGCGTGTGATTAAATTTACAACTAGACATTTCAAATGTAAAATAAACAACACCTTTCATCAGTCCAGCACAACATTTAATACTTTAAAAACATTTTCAATCGAACATTTCAAGTAAGGAAAGATCCTGTGCTAATGACAATTTACTCAAATTTACATTAATATCATAATTTTATTACTACTGTATTTTTATTTGTTAAACATTTTTGTTATTACCTACAGTGTTTTTGGATTAACAACTTTAGTCAAAGTTTCTAAAGTATACATATATAATGAACGAACTGGATAAATATACTACTAATAGAACACACCTTTAATAATCCAGCTAATAAAAATTAATAATATAATAACGTTTTTGATAGTTTCTTAACAATCTTCCTCAGTTACCATAACATAGAATAAAATCGAACACAAAAAAGAACGTAAATACGAAATTAAAATATAAATAACGGAAAAGTAGATAAAATAAACGAAAAATAAAAATTAATCTGATGTTTTATTTATTTTTTATTTGTTAAATTGAAATTATTATTTGTTAAGGGACATTTTTTCGGATTAATTTTTATTTTTTTATTTTTCATTTATTTTATCTACTTTTCCGTTATATATATTTTAATTTCGTATTTACGTTCTTTTTTGTGTTCGATTTTATTTTATGTTATGGTAACTGAGGAAGATTGTTAAGAAATGATCGAAAACGTTATTATATTATTAATTTTTATTAGCTGGATTATTAAAGCTGTGTTCTATTAGTAGTTTCTAATGTAAATTATTATTACCTTTTTAATCCAGAAACATTCATAGAATTTTTTATCGAGTTTAATATGAATAAACACGAGCAAGTGAAAATGTTTGCCATAATTTCCATTTTTCATTAAAATTATTATTGCACTGTTGTGCTATTTGTATAAATTATAGTGAATATAATGCCCATTTTACTTTCCCAGCTGTTACGTATAACAGAGGGAAAGTATGGTGATCAAACAAAAACTGAACCTCTGAGATTTTCTCAGATTTGGACTCGGGACCTTGAAATGTCAAGAAATGCAAAAAAAAATGGGGGTTTTTCTGTATGTATGAATGCTTCTTATAGTACTAATATTTATTATTTATCACAATGTTTATTATCAAACACCAAATTTTCAGTTTTTTAACATTCAGGTTATTTTTCTTACCTGTTTTTGTTTACTTTTATTTACGTAACTTTGATTTATTAGTTTGTATACTTAACTAGAAGCTAAATTAAGAATTTGAGTTAAAATTTTGTGATGACATAACATTTATGCTGTGTTCATATATAGTTCAAACAATAATCCATCTGCTTATTTTATTAAGATTAAAATATATACAAATGTGCTGATGAATTATTTACCAAAGGAAACCACCTGCTTTATAATAAGATGATTTTTTTTTTTTATTAGATATTAGTTTTGTATGTCATTTGTTTACACACGTCTTCTCCGAAATAATGTAAATATATTTTGTTATAAAATTTATAAAGATTTTAAACAATCCTGTTCTTATACAAACTTAACATATTAAAAATATTAATTTTTATAAATGTAAACTTAAGTAATTCAATATGTTAATGTAGCTTTTGTGTTATCAATCTTGAATTAAACAATGATACTCTTGTTTTATCATATAATTTTGGGCAAAGATGGAGCGTTGCCAATAGTAATCTGTGATTTGATCTAAAGAATTTGTTTTTTATAACCTTAGAAGAGTTATAAATTTAAACTCATTGTTCGAAATACGTTAAAAATTATTTTTGAGTGTCCATCGGAGTCATCATTTTTATACAAAAGGTAATTTATATCAATCAGTAAATAAATTCTTACAATAAAATAATTAACGTAATGTTTGAAAGATTTTTTTTTAACTTATTACTTTTATATTAGAGTATTAAACATCAGTTTGGTTTAGTAATCATGTTTATTCATTAGATTAATTAATAATTTGAGAATTTGAATGATAGCTGTATTGATATGGGTTGGTTATATTAATAAATGGAATAATTAAATTAAATTTAGATATATAAAAAAAAAAACACATTGACCATGAGTTTTAGTTGAATCTGCAACTCTTGTGTAATTGCTGATTGCATTCTAATTGTACTAGCAGAGCATGTTTTTATAATGCACACGTAAAAAGTTTTTAAACTAGTACTATTTAAATTTAAACTCGAACAGTTCGAATTTAAGTCTAAGAAAAAGATTATTTTAGTTTACTAATCATACACAATATTTCAAACATTTAAAAGCCACTGTAATTAAACTAAGTATTAAATAATCAAATTATGTAATTTGTCTAAAGATAGGTGGTTAGATTGCTTATTTATGTATGATGTGTTTGATTAATAAATTGTTTTACTCATTTATCAATTTCTATAACATATATTAATTATTATTATTGCTTTGTTTGTAAATAATTATATGAATGAAAATATTAAAACATTTCATAAATTAATTTAATAACTTTTTAAAAATTACACACACACACAAACAGTATATTTTATAAGGGTCCTCTTTTGCATTATTTGTTCTTGTTATATAAAAATATATATATATATTTATATATTCTAAATGTAGTAATCTGGCACAAATGTTGTGATTCTAGTTAAGATAAACTTAAACTCTTAGTCATTGATTTTTCACAGTAAGATAGACAAATCTCTGTTTGCCTTTAGACACTAGTCATTTATATAATTTTTATTTTTATAAGCTTCAAATTCTCTTTCTGTTCATTATGTCTCAAGTAGCAAAGTGATTCCCGTTTGGAGACTTGCTATTTAATTTCCTAAATACTATATTACATAATAAATATATAATGCACCTGTTTCATGTACCGAACATTTAAACAAATGATGTTTGTTTATATAGAAATGTTACATAAAGCTGACAAATACGGAAGATTTTTTAAATAAATTTTTTTATACTTTATTAAAAATTAAAGTATTAAATATATCATTTTAATGTTTTATAATTCGTAAATTAAGAAATTAAATCTACTTAGTTGAACTGAATATTGTGACATGCTCTTGGCAAAATATAAATAATAGAAACAGAGTAAACTTTGTCAAATAAATGAAATTTCTTAACTTTCTTCCCATGTTTTAGAAGTCAAACTTAGTTTTGTATGTTACAGTTTTTCTTGTTGTTCTTTTATGCAAGTTTATAATTACTTCTTTTTAAATTTTAAATTCTGATTCTTAGGGTTTAGCACAAGAGATTGACATTTTAAAAAAATATAATTACAAATATAATAATTATGAAACAGTGAACTAACTTGTAATAAATGATATGATGAAATGTGTCAAAAAATATACCTGATACCGATTGGATAGTATTCCTTTGAACTTTGAAACTCTCCCGTGTAATTCCAGCCTTTCATTTACCTTTCTGACAGAAAGAATCTCTTAACAGTTTTCATGAGACTGTCAGGTACTCGTTAAGTTTTGCATTGGTTTTTATTTTCAAAAGGTGAGAGTTTAACTGTCCTATCGGATATTCATTAACATTTTTGTCTGGACCTCACATTTGCATAATTTTTTTTGTGCACTGGTTGATTTCCGTTCTCTGAACATTTTATTTAAAAAAGAAACTGATAATATTATGGAGCCTGAAATTAAAGAGTGGAGTATCACAAACTGTGCTCATCATAGAAACCAAGGAAGAGATAATATCCAAGGTAGAGAGTGGGTAGATGTCTGATGATGTTAGGCAGTATGGCTTGAACAGATCTGCAGTAGGCACAATCTTAGCTAAGAAAGATATAATCAAGAAGACTCCAGCATCTAAAGGAGTAAGGAAAATCACATCTAAGAAAAGGAAATGAAAACAGATGTAACTAGTGTTACTATCATTCAAGAGAAAGCTAGAGAAAGTTTTGAAGAACTGAAGAAACAAACTCCACAATTGTCACATGAGGAGATAGAATTCAAGGCTATCACTGGATGGTTTGCAAAGTTTAGGAGATCTCGCATTAAACATGTGGTAATTCACAGTGAGTCTGCTAGTGCATATAAAGAAGAAGCTGAGAAGTTCTGTCTCAAATTTGAAGAATTCATTAAAAAGGAAGGATATTTTCCACAACAAGTTTTCAATTGTGATGAAACAGGTTAATTTTGGAAACCATACTTACATCACGAAAGATGAGAAAAATATTCCTGGGCATAAACCCATGAAAGACTGATTGATGTTACTTTTGGGAGCTAATGCTAGCAGTGATATGAAGTTTATCCTGCTTCTTCTCTATCACTCTGGGAATCCTAGAGCATTAAAATAAAATTCCATAATTAAAGAAAGACTGTCAATGATGTGGAGATCAAATAAAAGGGCATGGGTCACCCAGACTCTTTTCAGAGAATGGCTGTTTGAAGTTTGTGCTTCAAGCATTAAATTCATACCAATGACCAATGAATTGCCATTGAAAGCACTGTTATTGGACAATGCACCAGGACACTCAAAAGACCTTGAAGATAATTTACTGGAAGACTTTCCCTGGCTGACAGTTCAGTTTCTGCTTCCAAATACCACTTTGTTGATTCAGCCAATTGATCAAGAGGTTATTGCAACTTTCAAGAAATTGTACATTCATGCACTATTTTGTCAGTGTTTTGAAGCATGCCAGTTCTTCTCAATGATAAAATTTAAAATGTTTTGGAAAGAAAAATTTGATATTCTTGAAGCTATCTGGCTCATTAGAAATGCGTGGTCAGAAATCATTCAAGGACAGTTGAATTCTGCTTGGTAAAAGCCATGTCCCTCCTGCATTCAGAGAGACAGAGATGGTGTCTTTGAAATTATGGATGAAATTGTGATAACTGCCAAAGATCCCAAATTGGAGGTGAATGAAAACGACATTGAAGAGTTCATAATGGAGATGGATCTGATGGCAGACGAACTCCAAGAAACTCAAGAAGTTGTGTTTTCTTCTGAAGAAGAGGAAGACAAAAGAGGATCAATGCCAACATCATCTATTAAAGATCTTTTGAAGAAGTGGGAGGATGTCAGAACAACAGTCTTAGAATGCATCCAAACCAGGTTGAGTTTAATAGGTTTGGGGATCTGTACAACGACAATACTATTAATTACTTCTGGAAAATCCTGAAGAGAGAAAAGCAATCGATATCGGACAGATCTTTAACTCCTCGCAAACAGAAAAGGAACATGACTGATAAAAATGTAAGACTGTGCATATATGTATTATTATTATTATTATTACATATAAATAGACGTAGTAAGAAAGTATATAATTTTTATTTATTTTTTGGGGTCTCCAGAATGAATTAATCAAATTACCATAAAAATCTATGGTAAATCAGTAATCAATTAATGAACAATTTGGATAGTGAACATGGTCTTGAAACGGATTATGTTCATTAACTAATCACACACTGTGTTAAAATTTTTCCTAAATTTCTTGGCTATACTTTATACATTTGAAACTTTGTAAAAAAATAGAAATAATTAATCTAGAATAAGATTATAAATATTTAAAATTTATTCAATAATTGAAATTTGTTTAATTTTCAGAGCACACCAGTTTACTTGGTACGCGAAAAAATTATTGGGATTACATCTGCCGTTGTCTTACGACGAAACGAACAGACGTTCATGATGGATTAAAATTTGTTAAATCAATTTCTGAAGTAATAAACTTTTAAAAATTTAAATAGGTTTAAAGAATATACATTTTTCCACCCTTCTGTCAATAATAAATAATATAAATTTAATATTTCAGCTTAAAACATCATTAGGGCGAGGAAGAGCGTTCATCAGGTTTTGTTTAATGCAGCAGTGTCTTGCTGACTCGTTGCAATGCTGTATAATGAATACCAAAGTAACAAGGTAATAAGCTATTATAATTATTCAGTTACGAGCAACCTACAGCCTGCAAAGTTCTTATGTGCATCCTCCGAGGCTTTGGCAATGTAATTTTATTTTTAATTTTTTGCCTCATTTCAATATCCAATCATAATTAAGCTGATATTTGTGATGAAGAATATTCAAACTATTCTCATCTTTTCACTGGTCAAGTTTAAACTATATATTATTGATTGTGTATTATTTTAGCACTTAGTATACTAACAGTTATGAAATTTGTCGATGCTCAGCAAATTTAAAGTCTGCAGTATCCTAAGACTGCTGAATTGAGGTATTCATTCAGTAATCACCCCTTTGTATTTATTAAATTATTCATTGAACTTTAACAGTGTTAATCCTCGTGTACATAGTATTTTCCTTACAATTGTTTTCTTGGTTTGGTTGTTACTTCCGAGAGATCAGATCTGCCTCTTTTGCAGACCGTACGGTAAAGTTTACTCTCGGGGGTTTGTTTTGCAAAAGAATTAAACTGTTCAAACCTTAAATTTTCTATTTAAGCCTTGCATTGATTGGAGCATGTTTAGACGGTGATAAGAACATAACATATTTGCAAAAATACTTCGTGTGTAACATTTAATGCATGCACATATGCTGTAAAATTCAGTTACTATTAAAAATGATTATTGAATGAAAAGGAGGTGAGATTCTTTTGATGTTTAAATTACTATTATTATTTTAAATGAATTAAATATGAAACACTAAATTAATTAAAACANAAATCATTCAAGGACAGTTGAATTCTGCTTGGCAAAAGCCATGTCCCTCCTGCATTCAGAGAGACAGAGATGGTGTCTTTGAAATTATGGATGAAATTGTGATAACTGCCAAAGATCCCAAATTGGAGGTGAATGAAAACGACATTGAAGAGTTCATAATGGAGATGGATCTGATGGCAGACGAACTCCAAGAAACTCAAGAAGTTGTGTTTTCTTCTGAAGAAGAGGAAGACAAAAGAGGATCAATGCCAACATCTTCTATTAAAGATCTTTTGAAGAAGTGGGAGGATGTCAGAACAACAGTCTTAGAATGCATCCAAACCAGGTTGAGTTTAATAGGTTTGGGGATCTGTACAACGACAATACTATTAATTACTTCTGGAAAATCCTGAAGAGAGAAAAGCAATCGATATCGGACAGATCTTTAACTCCTCGCAAACAGAAAAGGAACATGACTGATAAAAATGTAAGACTGTGCATATATGTATTATTATTATTATTATTACATATAAATAGACGTAGTAAGAAAGTATATAATTTTTATTTATTTTTTGGGGTCTCCAGAATGAATTAATCAAATTACCATAAAAATCTATGGTAAATCAGTAATCAATTAATGAACAATTTGGATAGTGAACATGGTCTTGAAACGGATTATGTTCATTAACTAATCACACACTGTGTTAAAATTTTTCCTAAATTTTTTGGCTATACTTTATACATTTGAAACTTTGTAAAAAAATAGAAATAATTAATCTAGAATAAGATTATAAATATTTAAAATTTATTCAGATTCTTCTATTTTATAATAATTGAAATTTGTTTAATTTTCAGAGCACACCAGTTTACTTGGTACGCGAAAAAATTATTGGGATTACATCTGCCGTTGTCTTACGACGAAACGAACAGACGTTCATGATGGATTAAAATTTGTTAAATCAATTTCTGAAGTAATAAACCTTTAAAAATTTAAATAGGTTTAAAGAATATACATTTTTCCACCCTTCTGTCAATAATAAATAATATAAATTTAATATTTCAGCTTAAAACATCATTAGGGCGAGGAAGAGCGTTCATCAGGTTTTGTTTAATGCAGCAGTGTCTTGCTGACTCGTTGCAATGCTGTATAATGAATACCAAAGTAACAAGGTAATAAGCTATTATAATTATTCAGTTACGAGCAACCTACAGCCTGCAAAGTTCTTATGTGCATCCTCCGAGGCTTTGGCAATGTAATTTTATTTTTAATTTTTTGCCTCATTTCAATATCCAATCATAATTAAGCTGATATTTGTGATGAAGAATATTCAAACTATTCTCATCTTTTCACTGGTCAAGTTTAAACTATATATTATTGATTGTGTATTATTTTAGCACTTAGTATACTAACAGTTATGAAATTTGTCGATGCTCAGCAAATTTAAAGTCTGCAGTATCCTAAGACTGCTGAATTGAGGTATTCATTCAGTAATCACCCCTTTGTATTTATTAAATTATTCATTGAACTTTAACAGTGTTAATCCTCGTGTACATAGTATTTTCCTTACAATTGTTTTCTTGGTTTGGTTGTTACTTCCGAGAGATCAGATCTGCCTCTTTTGCAGACCGTACGGTAAAGTTTACTCTCGGGGGTTTGTTTTGCAAAAGAATTAAACTGTTCAAACCTTAAATTTTCTATTTAAGCCTTGCATTGATTGGAGCATGTTTAGACGGTGATAAGAACATAACATATTTGCAAAAATACTTCGTGTGTAACATTTAATGCATGCACATATGCTGTAAAATTCAGTTACTATTAAAAATAATTATTGAATGAAAAGGAGGTAAGATTCTTTTGAAGTTTAAATTACTATTATTATTTTAAATGAATTAAATATGAAACACTAAATTAATTAAAACATTTTATTGCTTAGAATTTTACTTATTTGATCCAGATTAAGTTGTTGATACAGGATGCCCAAAAATCAGTTAACCAAGATAATTTTAAGAATAGTTAAAACAAATTTGGAGCAGCTGCACGTTATTACTCATGATTCAGTTACTTCATTGGAAGCAACCAAATCATGAATAATAACACGCAGCTGTTCAAACCAGTTTTAACTATTCTTAAAATATCTTGGTTAATCGACTTTTAAGCCATTGTGTATGTGCTAGATTCTAAGCAAGTGGTTTGAAGACAAACATTTTAAACTTCAGAAGTCAGATTTTTAGTAGAAAATGTTCCAAAACTTTTTTCTAATTAAAAATTTGGGTTTAATGTATAAAGATATATTTTGTTTTAGATTCATTTTAAATATTAAAATGAACTTTATTTGGCTTTGGTTTTTTAATGATATATTTTTTTGCAAGATTGATTAAGTAATCTTAATGTTATTATTATTATATATAACATTAATTACAGTTAATTGACTACTAAATTATACTTGTATAGATGATTTTGAAACTAATTGAGTATTAATTACATAATATTTTTATTTCAGTAATTGGTATCATGAATCATCTTTTCTAATGAATGAAGCTCAGACCTCTTTCCTCATTTCCACATTATATGAATTAAATGACATACAGTTTGATCTTTCGCCAAGAGGACACGATCTCGACGTGTCTTGGCCGACGTTTGCTAGGTACGTTTTTCACTATTTTAAAATAATTAAGCAGAATTATTTGTCACTTATAATTTCAACTAATTGCTATTGTAATATAGTAAGAATTTTGATTTTATTTAATATGAAATTTTAATTTATTTCACTTTGAACAAAAATTAATATGATTACTAAATAAAGCATATTTAATTAGGACAGATTATTAGTATAATGAAAGCATTAAAATCTTACTCTTTTAGAAAGCTATTTAGTACAACTTATTCTTGGCAACCACCTAGCAGAAGCGTGAGCGTCTCTAGTTTGGTCAGCTGTACGTCACAAGTAATGTATTTAATTTAATCATTTTAGATTTAATACTTATTTTAATACTTTCAAACTCAACTATTTTTGAAAATCTTTATACGATAATTATTAAAAGTACATTTTATTTGCTGTAGTTTTTTACGTATAAAGTAAGAACTAAACTTCTATTATTCATTTTTAATTTTAGCATTTTCATAGCATTAGCATAGATATGACAATAATTTTTAATAAAACATAGAATTTTTAATTTTAACTTGATAAAATAGCATGATGATAAATAAATCAAATGAAAAATTTAGCAAATTTAATTTACATTAATTTAAAACACATTTTTAATTTAAAAATCTAAGTAAAAAGTTATACAGTATAATCAGATAAAATAATTAAATAAAGTAATTAGAGTAATTACAAAAATTAGCATGAAAATCAGCTAATTTTGATTTACATCTCTCGGTCACTTGTTTTTCTTTGTTTCTGGCTCAAGGTATTTGCCATTCTAATTCTTTTAATTTTGATTTATGATTTCTGTTATCTTTAAATTTTAAAAGAGTGCATAGGCTTGAGATTTTAAACAAGGCAAAAAAATATCCAAAAGATGAATAGAAGTATACCATTTGATTAATCAGTGTGAAAATGTAAAGTAAGAAAATAACCTCAATATGTACTTTTTAGAGAGAGAGAGCCTCTCCTAGTTACTGTGTGAACTCAGATCTTCATGAATAAGTCAGAATGTTTGCGAATGTGAGACAATCAGTAATGGAGTATCTCAACAGCTGTTTGACTAACAACAATGGTCATTCTGAATACATGCTGTTAAGTCACTTATTTTACAGTGTTTTAATGCTGTTACCAGTTTTTATACACTATTTTTCCAGTTATTAAGGTATGTACAGTAGAGTGTCGTTTATCCGAATCAATTGGGGACTGGGGTTGTTCAGATAACTTATTTTTCGGATAACCAATTATGTACAAAAAAATATACTAACCTATCCAGTGTTAAATTTTTCTCCATTGCGTGTTGCTTCGCGTTGAATTTTCGTCAATGTTAAGCCTAACATAAAGTTTTAAAATATATTGTGGCTATTGTATCGTTAAAAATTATCTCTTTATTTTGTACAAACAAAATAAATATATTGAAAAATATAAAAACAAAAAAATTATATTTTGGAAGTTAATCTAGTATCAAAAACATTCGATTCAGCACGACACAGTCTGACTGGAACACTTTTGGTTAACCGATGTTTCAGTTGATCAGCTTTTGGATAAACGACGCTCTACTGTAGTTGCAACTAGGAAAGGCTGTATATTGAGGAAATTTTCCTCCCCGTATTTATTTTGTACTGTTGCATCACTGTTGGGGTGTTGCATTTGCCTTTTTGTGATAGAGGTTTGGAATCACTTTGTACATACAGTAACAGGCATTTTAAGCACTTTTGTTTATATGTTTCCTTTATTCTATTTTGCAATTAAGCTGATATAAATTTATGTCAGTTTTACTTTTATAAATAATACTTTTGCTAAAACTTTGATGTTTATTTTTTGTTTTCTTTCTAAGAATATAGTTTTAATGATAGTGGAGTTAAATCTTAATATAATCTATATTGAACCTATTTTGCAGAATGAACCCACTTTAACACAGCAATTTACAAATGAGATTCAAAATATTAATGAAGTGAAAGATTTGAAAGCTGAGCTCATCCATTTAGAGAAAAATATGGAAGAATTACGGCAACAGTTAAAATGTGCAGAAAAAAGAGAAGAAGAATCAAGGTTACTTGCAAGTAAAAAAGAGAAAGAATTAATAGAAGTAAGTGTTTTGTTTAATTTATCATTAAGTTTTGCAATGAATCATTTAAGAGATGATAAATTTTTATATTTTTAGATAATTACATTTTAAGTAAAAGTTTTTTATTATCTAGGAAAGAGTATATACAACTGCTCCTTACGTGAATTCAGATTTATGCTAAATATTTTTCATAAAAATGTATTAAATTCCCATAATTCAATATAATGATGTTGATTGTGATGATACTTGTATGTAATAACATGAGGGGTAATTATTTAATTTGTGGAAAGGAGTGAAAACTTATCTTAAATGTGATCTTTGGAATCTTGTAGTTATTTGTCTTTCTCAAAATAATTTCTATTGAACCTTATGCATTTTATCCACATTGTACCCATGCATTAAAAGTGTCTTGCAAGCCATTTTTTGACAGTATGAAAATTGATGTCATTGTGGAAGGCAAGCTTTGTCATTGGATTCAATATGTTTGCCTTTCAAAGCCCTCTTCAGATTCAGAAAGAGGAAAAATATTTCAAAGTGCTAAGTCTGGGAAGCATGGCAAATGTGGCAGAACCTTGGCACCTATGGTAGAGATCACTGACTGTACAATATTAGCCATGACGGCAGTACTGTGCATGCTATCAGAAAATGGCTTTCACAATGCTGGCAAAAATATGAGATTCAAGGGAGAATGTTTTGAGAAAGACAAATGAATGGAAGATTCTGAAGATGACGTTTAAGGTAAGGTTTTGCAGATTAAATGATGATCATTTGTATATTGATACATATAAGTGTCAGTAAATTAAACATTTTTTATTTTTATTTTTGAAGACAAACTGGAAATACTTTTTTTTTCTAGTTATGCTTCATATCAAAGTAATTAACTAGTAAAAAACATTTTCAAATACATTACAAAGAAACAAATTCTGACTTAAATTCTATTCCACAAATCCTACATGACATTTTCACAAATTGGGGATTATCTGTATAGAATTCATACTTCTGCATTGCTGTATTTAATTAGAATTCAAGTAAAATTAAAGTATTTATTTATATTGATTAAATTTAAAATTACAGAACATAAAAGCTAAATTTATTCCCATTTAATTTGATAGTTTAATTTGATTGATGTAAATAATCAAAATTTACTTTAAATTAATTTACTAATAAAATAAAGTTCCTAATTGTCAAATATTGTTAATTAATTAACTCAATTCTAACTCAGAAATCTTGAAGGGATTTAATGATTAGAGAATTTAAGGAACACTTGTGTTCTATTGATAAGATAAGGAATTTATAAATTTAAGTTTTGATTTAAGTAAAATTAAATTAATGGTTGTTAATGACCACATTTGAGATATTTTACTATCCAGATATTTAGTTAATTATTAAATTTATAATTGTTTAAAAAACAAGTTTCATATAAATTTTTGCCTATAAAATTGCTAATGTTTGATTCTGTTTTTTAATAGCTTTCATCTAGTCTAGAAGAAGAAAGAAAATTGCACAAAATTAATGTAAATAATTTAGAAGAAGAAATGGTGAAGTTAAAAGAAAATTGGCAGATTGAAAAGAATGATTTAGTTGAAAAACTTAATAATTCTGTCAGGACATCTGTAGAAAACTGTGAGAAACTGCAACATATGGTTTCAGACTATAATATTGAAGAAGAAAATCATCTAAGGAATTGTGAAAAATTGAAAGAGAAAATATTGTACCTAGAAGAGGAAAATTCTACTCTGCTGTCTCAGTCATTTCATTTAGAAGTGGAATTACAAAAAAACAAAGAAATGATACAACAACTTGAAACAAGTACAAAAGATTTTGAACAAATTATATCGGAGTTAGAAAATGAGAACAAAATGTTTAAAACTAGAATCAAAGAACAAGATACAATAATTGAATCTCAGCAGGATATAACACAAAGCAAACCATTTAAAGACTTGGCAAAACAATTACATTTGCGTGAGTTAGATCTTTTGACGGCCAGAAAGGAAGCAAGTAATCTTCAGAGAACTTTGGAGAAAGCTGATGAAGCTAATGAAGTTGCAAAAACATTAGCAAATACTTTAGATTCAGAGAATCGTAACTTACGAGAAGAAATAAGCATTTTAGTTGCCAGAACGGATGATTTTGAGAAAATTAACAATGACTTAAAAGATGAAATAACTGCAATTAAACTTGAGTTGCAGAATGTTCTTGAAAGTAAAAAAAAATTAGAAGAAGAACTAGAAACTGTAATGAAACTTCCAGAAGAGCTGCTTTCTATAATAGGAAAAATTGCAAATTCTCCCGAATTGAGTTTAAAAGATGTAACCAACTTGTATAGATTTGAAAATATCGATTGTAGTTTGAAAGAAAAAATATATTCTACATTACAATTGTTAGAAAGATTTAATGTAAATTGTGTTCAAAATATATCTGTGCCAAGTTCAAATGAAGCATTAAACTTTGACAAAGAAGTGATGAATTTATGTAAAAAACAATCTGTGAAAATTGAAGAACTGCATAAAGAATTTGATGCTTGTATACAAGAAATATTAAAATTAAATTGTCAGATGTGCATAGTTAAAGATACATTACACTTATGTGAAGATAGAATTAATTATGAATGCCTTCAGACTGAATATGATTATATAAAAGAAACTGAAGAGAATGAGTGCAAATCTAGTGAAAATAGTGATAATTCCACAAATATTCCATTAAATGAAATGAATAATAATACAAATAAATTAAATAAATTAACAGAAAAAACACAGAAATTATTCCATGATCTAGAAGCCTTCAGAGAATTGAATCATAAATTAATTTTGAAAGTTCAGGAACAAGAAAGGAAATTGTCAGGAATTACACAAGAACTTGAAACATCACACAAAGTGATAACTGCATTAAAATGTCAGCATAGCGAATTGCAAACAACCGAAGCTATTACACGTTATGAACTTAAAGAAAAACGAAAGCTTTTAAATAAATTACGCTCGCAATTAGAATCTACAAAAGAAGAATGTAATCGCATGAGGAAAAGTTACTCAGATTCGGAAGCGGAATGGCAAAGTTTGAGAGATGAATTTGCTAAAAGACATAAACAAGCTAGTGAAGAGAGTGGTTTTGTAGATGATAGTAAAACTTTAGTAGATAACGAAAGTGATAATCAAGATCTTATTGCTACTAATTCTGATGTAGCATCCAGTCCCATTGACATCAATACTGCCGAAATGACAGAATGTTTTGAAAATTTAAGGCCATCTTGCGAAGGTGCAGAAGCCGATATTAATGAATTAATAAAAGAAGAAGTTATGTGTAATCCAAAATCTAGATTAGAAAGATTAGAAGAAGAATTTAAAAAAGTTCGAAATAATATAATGAGAAATGTTTCTAGAAGTGCACATCTTGAACAAAGAGTTCAATCGTTGAGGGTTAAAAAAAGTGACAATATAACCGATGGACATTTAGGTGAAAATTCTGCTGTTTTATTACAACAGAGTTCTCACAATTCACTCGATAATCACGAACAGAAAACTGTTGACGATCCCGATACCTCTTTACAAATTTTGGGAACATCACCAATTTCAGATGGCATACATGATACTTCTGAAGAAATTGTCGTGGACATATCAAATCATTCATCTGAAATGTCTGAAGATATCGAACCAAGTTCAATGAACGTTTACGATCCTTCGAGTGGGAGTTTGTGTGATTTATCCGATTTGGACGATGAAAATTTTACAAATCAAGAAGTTAGACCCATTGTTCCCAGTTTAAGGAGGCAAATGCTTCATAGTGTTGTAAATCGATTAAGAAACGAAAAACTTCGTCAGGAATGTACGGAAACAGAATTAAGACTACAAATAGAATCTTTGAAAGATTCAAATTATAATTTAAGAAGGGAAGTAGAAAAGCTGGAGCAAGAAAAAACTGATTTAATTGCAAAAGAAATAGATTTCAGGTATAGCTTTGAAATTAAAATTGATGGATTAAATTACAAATTTAGAAGTTTTTTAAAAAATAATTTTTTACAGATTACTAATTTTAAACATAATATACTATAANAATTGTCGTGGACGTATCAAATCATTCATCTGAAATATCTGAAGATATCGAACCAAGTTCAATGAACGTTTACGATCCTTCGAGTGGGAGTTTGTGTGATTTATCCGATTTGGACGATGAAAATTTCACAAATCAAGAAGTTAGACCCATTGTTCCCAGTTTAAGGAGGCAAATGCTTCATAGTGTTGTAAATCGATTAAGAAACGAAAAACTTCGTCAGGAATGTACGGAAACAGAATTAAGACTACAGATAGAATCTTTGAAAGATTCAAATTATAATTTAAGAAGGGAAGTAGAAAAGCTGGAGCAAGAAAAAACTGATTTAATTGCAAAAGAAATAGATTTCAGGTATAGCTTTGAAATTAAAATTGATGGATTAAATTACAAATTTAGAAGTTTTGAAAAATAATTTTCTACAGATTACTAATTTTAAACATAATATACTATAATTTTACGAAAATTTTTAGTCTTTGGAAAAATAATTTATACAATCTTTATCTTCATTCTAGATTCATCATCATTTCATTAGAGCTAACATTTCTTTCTATATCTTCAAATATATACTTTCTACATCTCAGTTTTTTGCGTTTTTATATATTATATAGAAAAAATGGCAAAATCTAGAGTTGAAAGAGAGATATTCCGTACAGGTTACATTCAATGAAGATCTGATAAAGTTAGGATTAGAATGGATATTGTCAGTGTGTTAATGTTTAGAATCTTTGATATAACAATACTTTTTTATTGAATCTTTGATAAACAATACTTTTTTATTGAATTTTTTGTTAGATCTAATTTAAATTAGATCTAACAAAAAATTAATGGAGGCATTATTTCACAAGATTCAAATTATCAATTAAAGAAAACAGACAATGAGGGTAAAGGTTGGTTCATATTTTGTAAGAATGGAAAATAGAAGAGAAAATGACACTAAATTGGTTTTTCATGACACTTCATTCATTCTTTGTGTCCTTCAACATGGAGACTGATAAAATTGAAGTAATTAAAATAGAATTATCTTTGTTGAATCATAACTCATCATAATATCTATTCAAATTAGATTATTTGAAGTTAAGTGAACATATAATCTTTATATATATTAAAACCTACCTAAATACCAAAACTGTGCCAAATTATCTTTCTTAATGTCTTTTGTAAGTGTAAAATATTCTCCACTCGATTTTTTTTTTTGAATTAACTACATATACTATTGTCATTTCAGATAAAGTATTTAAATTACTTTTGAATTAATATATAGGGCTTATAAATTATAAAAAAAATGAAAATTTAAGATGGTAAAATAGAACAATTACCTTAGATTCCTTATAGAAACACGCCTGCACAAATTTCAGAATCAGTAGGTATTAAACAAATAATAAAACCAAAAATATTTAACAAATACCTAAAACTTCAGAATATAATTGCATTAGTGCTTGAATTTTAAATCTGAATGTTTAAAATGTGTGAAAATTTCAATTTAAATATTTGAAATTCAAAATTACATGAAGAAATGTTAGTCATAATGAAGTAAAGTTGGATCTGAAATTTTGAAAATAAATACAAATCATATCATATAAATGAATAAAGTTTAAATTAAATTGGAGTTTAAATCTCAACTTTTATAATAATCCAATCGAATGAAGGTTTAACATCATATTACAGCTTACAATAGTATAGTATATATCATATTGTAGTGACTTACTATACTGAAGTATCCCAGTCTAGTTGTGGGATAAATGATTGAGGACTTTACAAAACCAAGGGCACGAATTCATGGAACTATATTTAATACTAATAATATCAATTCACAAATAAAAACAGCTCAAGGCTTCAAATGATGAACTTATTGGTTATAGTTAAATTGATTGTAGTCACTACAATCAATTTAATTCTAATTAGATTGATTGTATCTAACATACATAATTAATTCTAAGTTATATACTAATATTGATATAGATATATTGAGTAATCATGTTGTATCTATACAGTTATCTACAGGTTGGTATACCAGGTTGTTACATTCTCTTGATAGAATTAATTGGCAGAATCCAATTCTCTTTGCCGCCACGTGGTCGATTCTTGGTTATAAAACAGGTTATAAATCGCAGAGTTGATAAAATAATTGTCCCAATGAGTCAATGTAATTCCTAAGTATATTCCTACTTAAGTTACTTGTTCGTCGAAGGAAAGTCCTGTTTGATGGGGTTGGATTATCCATTTCCTATAGCCGTTTGATATCCTATCGTCCTTATCATATCTCCACGATAACCTTCTGGGAGGGGGTAGACAGTCTGGTCCAGCATTGAAGATGAGTCCACATAAAAGAGAAAAAAAGGTCTTTTGCCATGTGGGACAAGCACTTTTATAGGTTCGACCATCCAGGAACTTGTTCACCCATGTGACCTTTGCTTAACCAGTCCACGACCACAATTTAATTGACCTCGAAAAGGTGATACAGAGTGCACAGCATTACGTTACATGTAAAAAGAGGGGGGGAAAGATAAACCTGATACAATATTATTTCATAAATGGAACGTGATTACAAAATTTACAAAATTAATACAACCAAAATAACCATAGTAGCAGAGCACTACACTATCCAATTTAATTAATAAATTGTTTTAACTGTCNTTTTGCGTTTTTATATATTATATAGAAAAAATGGCAAAATCTAGAGTTGAAAGAGAGATATTCCGTACAGGTTACATTCAATGAAGATCTGATGAAGCTAGGATTAGAATGGATATTGTCAGTGTGTTAATGTTTAGAATCTTTGATATAACAATACTTTTTTATTGAATCTTTGATAAACAATACTTTTTTATTGAATTTTTTGTTAGATCTAATTTAAATTAGATCTAACAAAAAATTAATGGAGGCATTATTTCACAAGATTCAAATTATCAATTAAAGAAAACAGACAATGAGGGTAAAGGTTGGTTCATATTTTGTAAGAATGGAAAATAGAAGAGAAAATGACACTAAATTGGTTTTTCATGACACTTCATTCATTCTTTGTGTCCTTCAACATGGAGACTGATAAAATTGAAGTAATTAAAATAGAATTATCTTTGTTGAATCATAACTCATCATAATATCTATTCAAATTAGATTATTTGAAGTTAAGTGAACATATAATCTTTATATATATTAAAACCTACCTAAATACCAAAACTGTGCCAAATTATCTTTCTTAATGTCTTTTGTAAGTGTAAAATATTCTCCACTCGATTTTTTTTTTTGAATTAACTACATATACTATTGTCATTTCAGATAAAGTATTTAAATTACTTTTGAATTAATATATAGGGCTTATAAATTATAAAAAAAATGAAAATTTAAGATGGTAAAATAGAACAATTACCTTAGATTCCTTATAGAAACACGCCTGCACAAATTTCAGAATCAGTAGGTATTAAACAAATAATAAAACCAAAAATATTTAACAAATACCTAAAACTTCAGAATATAATTGCATTAGTGCTTGAATTTTAAATCTGAATGTTTAAAATGTGTGAAAATTTCAATTTAAATATTTGAAATTCAAAATTACATGAAGAAATGTTAGTCATAATGAAGTAAAGTTGGATCTGAAATTTTGAAAATAAATACAAATCATATCATATAAATGAATAAAGTTTAAATTAAATTAGAGTTTAAATCTCAACTTTTATAATAATCCAATCGAATGAAGGTTTAACATCATATTACAGCTTACAATAGTATAGTATATATCATATTGTAGTGACTTACTATACTGAAGTATCCCAGTCTAGTTGTGGGATAAATGATTGAGGACTTTACAAAACCAAGGGCACGAATTCATGGAACTATATTTAATACTAATAATATCAATTCATAAACAAAAACAGTTCAAGGCTTCAAACGATGAACTTATCGGTTATAGTTAAATTGATTGTATCTAACATACATAATTAATTCTAAGTTATATACTAATATTGATATAGATATATTGAGTAATCATGTTGTATCTATACAGTTATCTACAGGTTGGTATACCAGGTTGTTACATTCTCTTGATAGAATTAATTGGCAGAATCCAATTCTCTTTGCCGCCACGTGGTCGATTCTTGGTTATAAAACAGGTTATAAATCGCAGAGTTGATAAAATAATTGTCCCAATGAGTCAATGTAATTCCTAAGTATATTCCTACTTAAGTTACTTGTTCGTCGAAGGAAAGTCCTGTTTGATGGGGTTGGATTATCCATTTCCTATAGCCGTTTGATATCCTATCGTCCTTATCATATCTCCACGATAACCTTCTGGGAGGGGGTAGACAGTCTGGTCCAGCATTGAAGATGAGTCCACATAAAAGAGAAAAAAAGGTCTTTTGCCATGTGGGACAAGCACTTTTATAGGTTCGACCATCCAGGAACTTGTTCACCCATGTGACCTTTGCTTAACCAGTCCACGACCACGATTTCATTGACCTCCAAAATGTGATACAGAGTGCACAGCATTACGTTACATGTAAAAAGAGGGGGGGGAAAAAGATAAACCTGATACAATATTATTTCATAAATGGAACGTGATTACAAAATTTACAAAATTAATACAACCAAAATAACCATAGTAGCAGAGCACTACACTATCCAATCTAATTAATAAATTGTTTTAACTGTCAAATTTATTTTCATAATTTTCAGAAAATTTTAAATTTATGTTTCGATGTGATATTTATAATAAGATATATTCTATATTTAAAATTAACTTACATAAATATATTTGCAATGTATAAATGTAAAAAAATGAATTAGTATTGAATAATAATGATAATTCAAATGCATTTCTATATATGCTTTCCGATTTGGGCTGGATCCAAATGGTACGTGAAGTTCCTTCCAAATCTCTTAATTTTATAAATTTTAGGTATATTAGAATGTTTTGATAGGAAATTCATAGTTTTATAAATGATTTTTAAAGTATAAATTCTCTGTTTACTTTTCTATATTTTAGCAAAACTATCTCAAAATTTTATTATATAGCATTGTTAAATTGTTACTAATATGTTAAAACAAATTACTGCCTATTAAATTTTAATCCAATCCTATTATTTGTAACTTATAAATTGATTTTTCTTGTATTATTTACAATATCTCTCCAAAATTGGGTTTGTATAAATACACCATGCACAAAACCAACACCAGCACTATGAAAAGAAAAAATTTATTAACATTTTTGTCATACTTCATCAGGTACAAACAATATAGAACAAAATGGCTAACAAAAATCGAATGTTTTTTTAAAAGTCCGAACTGATTACGTAATTAGAATACACTGCGTTAAAATTTATGTTAAAAAACATTCGATTTTCGTTAGCCATTTTGTTATATATCATTTGTATCTGATGATGTCTGTTTCACATAGACAAAAATGTTAGTAAATTTCTCTTTTCATAGTGCTGATGTTGGTTTTGTGCATGGTGTATTATTTACAAAGTGATCATATATTTTTCATGTATTTATGTCAGTATAACATGATAAGGNTGTTATATATCATTTGTATCTGATGATGTCTGTTTCACATAGACAAAAATGTTAGTAAATTTCTCTTTTCATAGTGCTGATGTTGGTTTTGTGCATGGTGTATTATTTACAAAGTGATCATATATTTTTCATGTATTTATGTCAGTATAACATGATAAGGTTTAAAATACAGGCTGTCTGAAAATTTATTGTAAAGTTTTACATACAATATTGCTGTTTCTCCAACAGCAAATGCCAGAAATCTTCCCCAGAGGTCCCAAAATTGGGGAGTGTGGTCCTGAGACCTAGCAGGCCAGATTCCCTGGGAGATTAAAGTTTTTAGAAGACTTTTGTCAACTGCCTAGTCTAAAAACTAGAATGACCTCAAGTGAGTGGTAATAGCATTTACTGTAAAGTGGAAACATGGGATGTACTGTTTATTTTATTTATACTTTCCGTATGGTTTGCATTGCATTTGATATTCGTGTCATTCGATTAGAGTTTTCACTTCACAGTAACTTTCAGATACCCTGTATTCTTGTGCACTAATTTCATATTAAAAGAAATGCCCTAAAACTGGTAGTTTTGAGATAAAATTCTTGTGACAGATAAAGGTGGACATGTGCTTTGGGTGCCAACCTTGGAAGCACCAAAATGAACTTTAAGAATCTTTTTTTGTAATTAATGTTGAATCAGGCACCGAGTATGAAGTTTGTCTCGGGTGCCAGAACTGTCTATAACCAGCTTAAATTTCAATTATTGTGGAAGAGACCGGCGATCAACCAATACAAATGAGTGATGGGAAGAATGATGTCATAACTTGCTTGGATTTGAATTTGGATAGAAAAAGACCATAGTAAAATGATGCTTTAATGTATGATATGCACATATTCTATCCAAAGATATGCTTTAAAAAGGAAGAATCAGAATTATTTTCATCTTTGAATTTTTAAAAAGTGTGTGTGTGTGTGTTGTTTAGAAATTTTAATTATTTCTTTTATATAATTTTCTTTTTATTTCACTAGAGATAGTTTACAAAGATTGTTTATTAACAATTGCAATATTCTTTGTTAAATATAAAATTTTTCATTTTTTTATGTTACATTTAATAAATAATGCTGTTATTTTAGTTGTAAACACTGGTCGTAAAACGAATGAAAATTTTTAATAATACATATCAATTTTCAGGAAACGTTCAGAATACATATTTCGCAAAGAACGAGAGAATTTTCATGACATTAATGTGGAGAAATGTACTCTGGAAAGAAAAATTTCAGAGCTAACAGAGAGTTTACAGAGTGCTGTTGATAGAATTAAAGATTTAGAAAAGGAAAATCGAGAAGCCAAAGAAGAATTGAATAAAATTCAAAAATTAAAAGACGAAGAAGTTTCGGCTCTTCGGTTTCAACTCAGTACCGAATCTTTAAAGCACGAAAGAGCTTTCAAGGTTAGTGTTAAGAATATATAAATAAATTTTTTTTGTGCAGTTTGTATATAGAAATGAAAAATCATATCAAAATAACAACATTTGACATTGCTTATCATCTCTTCAAATTTATTATGAATTTATTAAAATTGATATTACATAAACTATACAAATATGTATTTCAACAATTTCTAATCTTTGCCAATTTGATATCAAACTTGTTAAGGGTTTCTTCATTTATTCTGCACTTTATTAACAATTACAGTTGAACAGACTGTTTAGTTAACAAACCCAAAATATTTCTTTAAAAAAATGTTTATAAAGAAGCCGTTATTCTGGCCATTTTCAATTTATAAAATGGACCAATATTATATAGAATGGAATTATATAATTTTCTTCTAAGCGACACTTGTTTTGATATCACATATGCTGTTTAAAATAAATAACATTAACTATACAAGCTTTTAAAATATAAATTTTCGTCTATAATAACGTATCTTCTATTACCAGGACTTGTTATACTGGCACTACAGAAATATTACAAAGTTTTACAGAAAAACATTTTTTATTTTACTTAATATACCTGAGACGTTATTATTAATTTATTTATTTTTTGTACATCATGTTTTTGTAAGTTCTTACTGATACTCACTGGTATACTTAAGGTTGGCAACTTTATGTCTTCTATTTTACGTTTCTTCAAATACCATATTTCCGATTTTAATTTTTCTATTTCTTTCTCCATGTTTTCTGTACTTTGCATTTTCTGATACACCAGAATTTCAGCTAAATATATTATTAAAAATATTGTTTAATTAATAATAGAAGATACGTTACTGTAGACGAAAATTTATATTTTAGAAAAAAAAAAGGCATTGAGGCATTTTAATTATACAAGCTTTTGTTTTACATAATTAAATTAATTTGACTGAAGATGGCAGAATAATGGCTGAAAATCATCTTGATTGACCCAAAAACATTGATAACGCAAGAGATGATGATGTCATCATTTTTTGCATTGTCAATGTTTTTGCATTGATATGAATTCTTTGTGCTGTTAAAAAGTTACCATTGTTACTTTTCATCTTTAGATTGTGTTGTAGCAATATTAAATAGTATTTCTAACACATTTTCAGACAAGATTATTCATACGTATCATAATAATAATCAAATGCAGACTGGACGATAGCAAATGTTAATAATATATCACAAAAGATGAAAATAAACTTAATTTTTTAACACAAAAATAACGCATTATCGATAATCATTGAAAACATAAGATCTGATTGTGGATGCAAGTTTGTTTCACGCATGAGTTGTATTTGTTGGTTGTTAACTGAAAAATTTTGTTTAGAGAAGTGCATGTGGTAACAAATGCATGAAAAATTATACTTAGAAAGTTTAAACTAATGATTTTATACCATTAAGTTAATTGTATATTTTGATTTTAATAAGATAACTTAACCTTTAATATAATATTAAGGTTATATTTATCTCCAATGCTAAATTTTTATCACTTTAACAAATAATTTTGTTCATGAAACTTAATAATTCTATATTAACATAATTAAATTTATATGCATGAGTTATTTATCCTATTAATTATAGCATTACACTGATCAAGAAAACGAGATTGCCAACATGAAAAACAAAATTTGCGACCAGGAAGATTTAATTTTATTTTTTGAAGATGCGTTAAATCAAATTAAAGAAGAAAGAGAAATTGAAAAAAAGCACCATAGGCATGAGGTATGGGTGCATTGGTTTAAGATCAGTTAATATTTTCGGTTTCTGTTAAAATTCTTACTTTTACTAAATGGGTAAAATAACCAGGTTAATTGAACGTACTACACGAATTCAAATATTTATAAATATTAAAAGATTATTGATAGAATTTAAATTAAATAGATGCATCAACCGAAAATTTCAATTTCAGAAAAAAATCTGTACGATGAATATATTATATAATATACAGTATATATTAATGTATACTTTTTGTGTTTATACCTAACAAATCTGTATTTTGACAATCAAAAAATAATATAGCATGGATTGAAATCATAGTGAATTAAGTTATTGCATATCTAGTTATTTTAAAGTTCTTTTAAAAATAGAAAAATTTATCAGAATGTACAGCTATTACTTACAATCCTCTAATTCAGATAGACACATTCTAGGAGTTGTAGCAGTTTGAAAAGTCAGATGTTATGAATTAAATGTTGAGAAGACATGAATTATGATGTCTAGACTTAACTATATTAGTACGGTTGTCCCTCTATAGTCCGACGTTTTTTAATCCGACATGCTCAGTAGTCCAACGCACCTCCCGTCAAGGTACCTGTACCCGTTACATGTCTGCTTGCACAGAAGCATGTCGCGATGTGAATCTCCCCATACAATTCTTACTCTATGACACACATTTCGTGNTAATTATTTATTTATTACAAATTATAATAAGATTATATATAAATTTTATCATCTATTTTTATTTAATACATTTTTGCAATATATCTGTAGACTTTAATGGAACTCGACAAAGAAAAAAATGTTTGTAGTGCATATAAAACAGAGTTAATAGATTTAAAATCTCAAAAAGATCAAAATGCAACTGAATTAACACAGCTAAGAAGTGATAATATGGAGTTGAAGAAAAAAGTAATCAAACTTATAAAGTTAGTATAAATTTATGTATTTATGTTTATAAAATAATACAATAAATCACATACAGTACATGGGGATATGTTCCACATATGAATATAAAATAATACAATAAATCACATACAGTACATGGGGATATGTTCCACATATGAACCACACGTTATGTAAGAACTGAGCTTTGGTATCAAGTCTCACTGTTCATACATAACATGTATGAACATACAGTATTGTGCGAATTAATGTGAACACACGTGAAAATTTGAAAAAAAAAAAAACATTTATTGGTTAAAGATGAATAGAATCGAAAAATGAATAAAATTTAAATTGTTTTAATATGAAATATGTCCTCCCTTGGCTTTAATAACTTCTTGAACACGTTTTGGCATGAAATCAATAAGTTTTTTACAGTTTTCTGTTATTTGCTCGTCTCAAAACTATATCTGGATTACAGCCTCTTATCAGTTTTGTTTTTGTTGTGCAATCTATTTTACGAAGTCTAGCTTTTACTATTAAGATCTGGTGAATTTCCTGCCATTTAAGGCATGATATCTTTTTGTCTTTGAAATATTTAATCATGATCTTGCAAGTCTTGTTGAAATACTGCTTGATCGTTGGCATCAACTTTTCTAGTTCAACTTCCAATCTTTGTTTTAACAAGTCTCTGTATCTTTGCGAGTTTATCATGCCTTTGACTGGCACAAGGGATCCGGTACCTTTATAAGAAAAGCAGCCCCAGAACATCTTTAATGGATGTTTAACTGTTTAATCAATGTGAGCTGCCGTAAGTTTTTCGTTGTCACTTTTTCTAACGTAACAAGATCGCTGTCCTTGTACCAAAAAATGGCTCTCATCTGAAAACAACACTTTCCTCCAATCTTCAACAGTCCAGCGCACACATTTTTTTTGCCCAATCATATGTTTTTTTCATTATGGCAGCAGTCAATAACTGTTTCTTTTGAGGTCTAACCATATTTCTTCCACTTTTTATAAGTCGTTTTCGTACGGTGGAGTCATGAACAATAACTCTAGCATGTGCTAAGTCTTGTTGAAGTTCTTGACTGGTTTTCTAGAGTTTAATTTACTTTCCGTTATTAAAAAAGCTTCATCTCTTGCTGTTGTCTTTCTTTTCTTTCCATATTTCCCTTTTCTGTTCACCTCAATTGTCCCAGTGCCCCTTTTGTGCTTCAAAATCTTGTTTACAGCTCCTAAACTCACATCACACTCCTTGGCAATATTTCTTTGAGTCATTGATGTGTGTTCACTCAAAGTAACAATTTTAGTGTGGTTTTTGGGAGTAATATCCATCTTCAAAAAAAAGCTAATAAAACCTCAGTTCAGCTTAACTTTACCAAACACGCAATAATTCGAAAAAAATAACAAAATGTAACACATCTTTAGCTTGGCATGTCTTATTACTCACTGACTGCCAAATCAGTAAAACAAAATGACATAAACGTGTTGTCAACTGCGAAAAAAACAGCAAAATTGTGTTAATTATGATGTGTTCACATTAATTCGCACAGTACTGTATGTAGTTTGTTATAATGCAGTTTCCTTTTAACATGGAACTTGTCCCCCTGTTGCATGGGGGTTCACTGTATATAAATATAACTTTTTATTTCCTAAATGTTTTGTTATGCACATAAATATAAATTTTTTAAATAATTTAATAGAGAGAAAGACATGTTGTGGAAACATTCAGATAAGCTCGCTCACCAACAGAAAATTCAAGTCACCGACCGATGGATGGAAGATGCCGAAACGAATACTTGTCTCGGTTGCAAAGTGACGTTTTCCTTGATAGTTCGAAAAGTATGTGCATATTTCCAGATTTCTATTAAATTGTACAGTGACTTAGTATAGAAACTAATAGCAATAACAAGTATAATACATTGATTTTGTCAACCTACTATAAAAATGTTTAGGGGTTAGCCAAATTTCTGTGAAGTGAGAGGTGATTATCAGATTCAATCTTATTGCAGGACATTTTTGAAAGAACTTGTAATTTATATTAATAAGATGTATATTCACATCTTATCAGTATAAATTACATCATTATCTTAATATATTCGGTAAAACATTTCAATAATCTGATTTAAGTGGATATAAAGTAAGATATATTGATACTTATTAGTAAAAATGCATTTTTTAGCACCACTGTCGTTTGTGTGGACGTATCTTTTGCCATAATTGTGCAAACAACTGGCTGTTAACGGCATCCAGCAGGTAACGTTTCTTTATGAATTATTTTATTTTATTACATAGATTGAATTTATAATGCTAAATTAATGATTTATTTTTAGATAATTTTTTTATTAGTGACATTTGGAACAAACTAATTTTTCCATGTGATAGATACTAAAATTGCAATCCAATTTCTTTTATTAAAGAATTTAGATAATGAGCATTTTAAACTGTAAAGTTTATTGATCATGTAAACTATTGTACTGTACTGTACGTGCCAATAGTAAAGATAATGTTTTTTAAACGATAACAAATCACTATCATCACATTGTTTCTAAATCTAAACTTGAGACAAAATTGAACTTTATATAAGAAAATAAAAATCTAATGTTTAATATACTTGTATAAATATTAATTTCTTTTTATAATACAGCAATTGGAACTTTATCATAGTGATATTTTAACATTACATTGTTGTTAAAAATAATTTTATCATTTTAACTAATGTTCAAATGTTTATTTTTGAATATATTACCCTAAACTACAGTTGTATATTTTAGACGTGAGACCCGAGTGTGCGGCGAATGTTACATCAAGTATTCAGAATTACAGACGGAGTGCAGGAGTACGATACCGAGTGTGACGGAAGATAGTGAAGACGAGGAGTCCGAAGCGTGTGCTACTCAAAGGCCTTCTGTCATCGGTAGAATGATATCTAGTGGTGGTAATTTTGATTCTGGTAAGTATTTTACAGAATTATTAATTTAGAATTAGTTATTTTTTTGTAATTAATTAAGGTTAACAGAAATCTATAATATCCATTATCAATGACAGGGTTTTATACAGTTGTTAAGATAAATGGAATTTTAATTTGAACCTGTGCACCCTGTATATTACTGACACGTATAAGTATAGGCATAGCCTAGGGAGCATTAGGTCCACCATGTTGTTTACAGTAAAATAAATGAACTCATTCAAAAAAGGAATTTGTATAAATTGCATGGTAGTTCCAAGGCAGTACATAAATTTTCATCTCTCCAAACACAAGGATAACAAAAAGATTTTCAATCATTTTAAGATGGTGTAGCATAATGTGCAAATAATCTGACTGTTAAGGATACAATCCAACATTGCTTAGAACAATACAAAACACTTAGTTTTGTTTTGGACGTGATTATTTTTGCTATTGCCATTGAAAGTGTAGATGAAAGTAGTGTTATCGGTGGGATGTTATCATATCAAATGTCGCCATCCTACAAGCTTCATGTATCCACCTCTGCAACTTGAAAAAGTCAAGTTTGGATTGTTCTGGTATAAATTTATCACCACATTAACTAGTCAAATTTCTATGCATCATTCTTTGACAATCGTGCCAGTTGCCGATAGCAATCGAGTGGGCACGTGTCACGACAATATAAAATTCAGTCCACGTTGCCTCACCATTTCAAACCTGCTTATATGTGGATATGCATGGTAATATGCCAAAACTTCAAAGTTGTGAAGACAAAGACAAATGGGACCATTTCTTCTGACCGACTACCAGTTGCATCAAGTGGCATATTATGTTCAGAATCATTGTATGCGGTACAATTGGAAAGTGCTTTTCAGATGCATTAAGATCTACACAGCCCAAAGGCACTTGCAGAATTTATGCACTTTCTTCTTGTACAATTTCTCATTTCCATAATCATTTCACACTAATGTTTGAAAGAGCACGGCAACAATGCCATGCACTCACAATTAGCAGGCTGTACATCAGCTCTTTTATAGAGACATCACATCATATCACTCATCGCTACATGAATTATCAAGATGATATTTTTTGTACTTACATTTGAAAAGCTTACATACTGCCACAGAACTACTAATGTCCTGTTTTTGAACGAATTTGTTTTACTGTAAATATTGCAGTGGAACTAATGCATCATACGCATATACTTGTGTAATGCTAGAAAGGTCTTTCTTGCATGTGGATAAATATTACAATGAATGTCCTATGTATTAATAACAGTATAAAAATTTGCATAATGGCTGAAACTTTTATCATGTACATACGAGTGTGTAAAAACAAGCCAATTTTATTTTTATGTAAAGCACTGCTGTAAGACATTAAGAAAAAATAAATTCATTTAATTAGGGCTACCAAGAGAAATGTCAGAAAATACATTCACCAATAAAGTATTACTTTACAGAAAACTTTATTTTGTTTGATGATGATTCAACTTTCTTTAGATGTACAAACAATAGGTTTAGTGTGAAATGAAAATGCTTGGCAGTTTTGTAACATTTTTGGTAATTCCAGAAAAGGAATAGAAAACAATTGCTTAAAATGTTTAGCATTTTCAGCAAATGTAATGAAAGTTCCATATCCAATAATCGAAGATAACGAAACTGTACTGAATATTAAAAAATACTGTTTATCATAAAGCAAGAAAAAACAGTTTTGGTGATTTCAGGACAAAAAGAAATACAGTGGTACCTCAGGATACGAAATTAATCCGTTCCGAAACTGAGATCGTATCATGAAAGTAAGGTGAATCATCTTTTCCCATACGATTACATGTAAAACCAAATAATTCGTTCCAACGCGAAAAACATACTCAAATTAAAGCCAAGTAATACATTAAAAAAAATAACTGTAGTAAGAAACACAAATGAAAAATGCGAACTAATGTAACATCGTATGGTGAGTTTTTGTTCTTATCGTGGAGCAAAAATATGTTCGAATTTCATGTCGTATCCTGAAAATTTCGTATGCTGGGGCGTTCGTAACCTGAGGTACCACTGTATTTGAAATTGAAAAACCATTTGTTCAAATACTTTAACTCCAGAATTTCACATTTATTTTTGAAGATTTTCCAATCTTAAGATATGTCTGCTCTTTGATACCAAATTTATAAAATTGCTTTACTAATTATACCAATTTATATTACATTACTGCTGTACATATATATTGTCATCTTAATTTTATGGTATTTTTATACTAATCAAAAAAATTCCAGACATGTTATTTTTCGCAAATCAAATTAAACTTTGTTATTATTGTGTACTAATTTAGGCATCTAAGCTTACATTTTGTTCATTATGCATTACATAACATAGAACTAGGATTTCAGTTATAGTCAGGAATATTTTCAGATTTAAATATTGCAAATGTTGTGGCTGTACCCATGTGAAAATGCAATAAGGATCTATTAATGGTTGGCAGCTGATAATCTGGCCCTAATTTCCATGAGAGCAATTTAAAATTTCCCAGTTCACTACACGAAGCCATTATTACTGTTTGGTGACACTAGCTGCCGCATAAGCTGTTTTTGACCATTTTCAAACACTAGTAAGGCCTTTTTACTTGTATTTTTATCATAACCTGCTGACATTTACCTCCAGTTGTGGCACCGACGAATATGAGAAGTACTTCACGTGGCATTAAGTGCAAGCACAATACATTAGTCATAACACACGAGATAGAACTTTTTTCTTTATCAATCAACATATGATCTATTTTAAAGATTTGCAATCTGGCAAATTCACTTATTTGGTACTCTATGGGTCCAAATGATGATGGATTAGTGAAGGCCCATAATTGGATCCACATTCCTTTCCGCTCAGGTTTTTATTACCAGAGATGAACTTTGTAAAAACTCATCCAAAATAACCACTATTTCAACACTTTAATTAGTGAGTGAAGGCTCGTGGTATCTGCACAAAACTTTCTTGGTTGCTTCATTTGAAAATTCCATTCTATATAAAATGATAGTTGTAAAAATTACCTCATAGTAATATTTATTATTAAAAATTTATCTGATGATAAAAAATTGTAATATTATACAGTATGTAATGTTTGAAAAAATATAAATATCCTTCAAGTGCAGCACACAGACACCTAAAAATTTTTACCTTAATTTTTTCATTATTATATCAACAAAACATTAAAATTTAAATATGCAACTTTATGTACATTTTATTTCTTCTAGACAATGATTATTAAAATAATATGAAGCATCCATTACATTTAAAAAAATTTTGTTGTTATTTCTTGCTAAAAAAACTTCAAGGTTTTTAACAAGATATTTTTAACATAATATTCATAAAACGTGAAGTTTTATGAATACTAACTATACTATTAATGTATTATGTTGTACATTTAATTCTTATTTTGATAGAAAATACTTCGGTCTTAAGCGACAGCATAAGCGTCTCTTCGCTTTCCGCTTCTGCTCCAAAAAATTCTACGGTGTCGATTTCGAGCACTTTACCAATGTATGGCAGCGTGCCGAATCTTCCGTCTCTCTGCGCCAACAAGTGGTCCAGCCACGACAACCAGTTGGACCAGGAGAAAAAACAGTGAGCATCCCCGAAGATCTCGTATATTAAGTATAGTCCCGTAACATTTGCTTTATTTTGATTATTTATGTACAGATGTCCTCCGGAAGAATTTGACATCATCAGTGACGAAGAAATAGCCAATTCGCTCTCTCTCTTCAATCCTTACGTTCAGACGACGTCGCCAGGAAGGAAAGCGGATTCGAGGTGGGCGTAGGAGCTATCTTACGTACAAATAAATGTAAAGGAAGCCGTATCTAACCTATCACATTTCGTAATGTTTTTGTAGATTGCACACGACCATCACTCGTAATGCGACCGACATCAAACTGGCTGGACCGAATGGAATAAAGGGAGAATTGTGGGTGAACGCCGGCACGCAATACGGAGTTCCCATCGTTTCTGATCTCGCCGGCCACACATTGCTTTGGGAATTTTCTACAGAACCTAAAGTAAGAAACTTTTCATTTTGTATGGTGTACAATGATAAGATGATTACCAAACATAGATTAAAAGATATGCACACATCGTAAATTTCAGAAAGCATGCTAGGAAAAAATTCATCTTTTTCAAATTGACTAATTGCGTTACTGAAATTTTGAACTCAAAAGATTCTTTTTCACTGCTGATGCTTGTTGAAATAATTCTCAATCATTTTTGCACAAAATGTCTATTTTTGAAAATCAGCTAACTGGGAGCCTATTTCTTACAATTTTAACGCTGGAGATCAACGCCAATCTTGCAGATATGTTCAGAATAACTTTTTAAATATTTTTGTTTGCCAGATTCTACATAAAGTACGAGAGTCATTCCAAAAGTAAAGAACATTTGTTTCTTTAGATATTTAAGATAATGAAACAAAGCTTATTTTACAACACACATGATACCTTAGCTATTTTTCAACATAGTTCCCATACAAATTTAAACATTTGTCATAGCGTATCATCAGCTTTTCTATGCCTTCTGCACACTCGATGACTGGTTCAAAAATTTGGCGGTAACTAACGGCCTCTTTCAGTTTGTTGTCACTTCTATAGTGATTCCTGGTTAAAAAATCCTTCAATTTTGGGAAAAGATAGTAATCATTCGGAGCCTAGTCTGGGCTATAAGAAAGATGTTCAAAAATTCCCGAAGCAAGTTCTTCGTCAATTCAGCGGTATGCAGACATGCGTTATCCTGAAGAAGCACGATGCCTCTGGACAAATGTTTAGAACTGAAGCTTCATTCATCACATTACAGACATAACCGAGGTTTACGGTAATTTCAATAGGCGGACTTTTTTTGCATTCAAAAAGTGCAATACGCTTTGTACCTCATACCCAGCAGGATCTTTAATTTTGTCACGCATTTCAAAGTCACACTAAAAAGTAAATGATTGTTGTGGCTCGCTGTTAGCATCAGACTGGCACGAAAAAATGGGAAGGTCCACAATGGTGGTGGGAAAACTGCCTAGCTTGTCAGATCAAAATGTTCTTTTCTTTTAGAATGACCCTTGTAATAGCAGATAATCATCTGAAACTATCAGTTCTTTTCTTCTTAGCATTAAAAACACATGTAATTTTACCTAACTTAGTGTATATCATCTCTTGGATACAAACTAATAGGTTATGATGTTTTTTTATTTTCTATTTGAAAGTGGAAAATGTAAATCAAAATACATCGTGAGCTATTAGTGTGTATTGTGACACGAGTGAAAAGGATGTCAAAGAATTACGGCAGATGTTACTCCACTTCAATGATAAAAATTTGATTGAATCCAAAAGCAATGCGATAGAATCTCATATGTAAACGGACCTCTACCAGATTATATTGCGATTAATACAATTGCCCAATAGAATCTTATTTTAATGGATTGCAAAACAATCCTCCTAATCCATAAAATTTAACCTGCTTTTAGCAAATATGTAACTCAGAATTATTTTTTTTTTTCATTCAACATTGGAAAAAACCCAATGTGTATTTTGCTCCATGCGCAATATATACATTTATAATTGTTGTTGCAACTGTACATCAGTGCCCTCCGTTGTGCATTAACGAACGGTGGGAAGCTTCTTCTGGTTTGACACTCGGTCGTGCTCACTTAATTTAACAATGATGACACTGACTATGCCGTCAAAGGAAGTCCAGAAACTTATGGCATAATGTCTGTACAAGTTTGTAACATACATGTTTCTATAGAATAAAAGAGAGACAGATGAATAATTTCGAGTACAGGTATATTTTATATGTGGGGGGTTAAAAAGCAGATGTTTTTCTGAATGTGTGGGAATTCTGTTATTTGAGATATGATGGATGATTTTTGGTGGCCCGAACAATTCATTAAAACAAGATTCTACTGTATGTTAGAAGAATTATTTGAATGAATGTGCAGAAAAATCTGATAAAGTTCGTAGTTCACATTCTCAGTTTATGAAGTAAAGACTATATTCTTGGTTTCACCTCATCCTTTAATCCTATGGTATTATGTCATGAGGATTTTGGGTGAACACTTTACAAAAACAGTTTTTATCAGAACATTAGAAACACTTAGTATGGTTTAGGAAGAAACCTGTTTGCCCTTTACCTTCTTTTAAAAATGCATTAGTGTCAGAGATGAAATCTTTAAATAACTGTAATGTAAATTGCTGAATTGACCGACTATTATGCTATTAGTGATGTGAGAAAGTGTTTAGACTTTGCTCTGTTTCATAGAACATAGTGTTAATCGAACATAGTCTCTCCTAACACACATCTTTGTTGATACTCTAGTCCGACATTGATTCTATAAAAATGTTGTGTGTGCATGTATACTCAGGCAATTGTTATCAGAGATAATCTTGACAATTTAATTTTGCAAATTCTATGCTTATGAACTAATTTGGGCATGGTTAATAAGAGTCAGTTTTTTATGCAGTTGTCTAAGAACCGTATAAACAAATTTATATGGAAATTGTCAATAAACTTCAACAACAATTTCCAAGCTGTCACAAGAGAAATCCAATTGATTAAAAACAACACTAAAATCACTTCTCTTCCTTACAATTTGTATAAATTGTATTTTTTTCTTTTAATAGACAATAGGATTTTCCGTGGTGTACAATAAATCGAAGAGCGACATCTACAACAAACTAGAAATGCAACCACTACTACGCATGGTTCACGTCGACACCCAGCGACATCCGTTCGAAGGATACGTGACCATGGAGGAACCCGGAGTCTACCTGCTGATATTTGACAACAGGTTTTCTAGGTAAACGATAAATTTTTACATGTTTATTGTGGCGATGAAATGTGCACGATTCATATTAACAAAATATTTATGCACTGCAGAGTGACAGCCAAAAAGGTGAAATACTTCTTAATGGTGAGGGGCGACGAAAGTCGAGGCACCGATCGCAGAGCGAAGACGCTTCCTTAACTTTTATATACCGAATTTGATAAATGTCCGAGATCTGATATTCAAACCAGACTTTTTTATTATTCAAATATCATCTGTAGATAATTCATTATTGCTGTCAAATAGAATTTCTTTAATAAAGGAAAGTTGTTTATTGTTTTTGCTGCCGGTGGAAAGTTGTTAGAGAGAGAAATGAGGTGGAATAAACATTTATTTCTACCTTTTTGGTTCTTACTTCTGCTACCTGTTTTTTTTTTTTTTATTCTTAGTAAAACTTCCCGGAGTACCCTCACTCGTCGGAAGATTCATACCTGGAAAAAATACTTCTTAGCGACTTTGTTTGACTCGGTCATCGACTAAAGAGATGGGCTTACTTTGCCAGAGACTTCCGCAACTGTTTGATCTGGTCATTCTTGGCGGTGAGCATCTTCTTAAGATTGGCGTAAGCTGCCGTTTCACAAAATTTCCTCTCTAGCTCCTGCAACAAATTGGTATTATTAGAAACGTGTCCACAAGTTAATTTTTTTCGGTTCCAACTCTACTTGGGCAAAACAGTTGTTTTTGAAATAAACAACAACAAATTCCTGCATTTACAATTTTTAAAAATTGTAACAAGCAGCATTTAGAATTGAAAGTGGTTTCAGTTCCCAATAATAATACTTATCCTGGTAAGTATTATTCTTGGAAACTGGGCACTTAATTATTGATTTAAAAATTACCTTTCTCAGTTATTAAGTTTTAGTTTTAAATTAACCAATTACTGCTTAGTGTCTGATATAGTCAAACCCTCTCTTTAAAATTTTATAAAAAGTTTCATGTAACATTTCACTGGTTTCTTTTAACTGGAAACAAGCAAAATTTCTCAAGATGACGACGAGGCGCTTAAGAAAAATATTAAAGTATTTTTGTCAGTAGTAATATTTTAGCTGTCTGATATATTGGAAGTCGCACACAACAAACTTTTGTCGCGTTTCAGGAAGTTTAAGAGTAACCAGGAATGCCAATGTGAGATCAGAGGTCAAAAAATACTTTTCTAAACTATTTCACTTGTGTCTATTTGCAGAAACACCTTGCAACAATTGGAATTTGTGTAGGTAGAAACTAGAATTTGATATGGAAAAAGGAAGTAATTTCCCTTGCAAGAAAGAAGTTCTTAGAATATCTTCCCAGGAGTGCCAACTGTAAAAACAGCATTACAAAAGTGTAAAAATAAGCAAACGAGTTGCCAGTCTCAAAAAAGAAAGCAAAAAGTGCATGTCCGGCAACTAAAGACTGGATGGAGTTATTGGTGTGTAAACTAAATATCTGCATAATTTTGGCAGACAATAAATTTGTGGGATTGTGGCAACAATATTTCAAACATAAATGAGACGCAGTGGCTTAGGATATATTGTATTGGCAAAGTTTACAAACAACCGTAAAGCTTATCCTCTTTTGTTACGTGAAGAATTTTATGGATACGGAGATGCCGAGGATAGTTCGCGGCAACATAAAAATGGCCAGAAATGTAAGACTTGCTAGATGTCCACAAAGAGTAAGAGAGACAAGCATCTTGAGGTATGTTAAAAACTTACTTGTATAGCAAAATGTCCTTTGGAAGCAAAAGCCAGCCTCGCCATCTAACATGCATGTGTTAGTCAACCAAATGTTATTTTGAGAAGCCACTAATCACACTTATTTTACCAAATTCTTATTGAATGGTGCAAAAATAAAAATTTATGCACCATTCCTCTGCNTCAACAGTAATGCAGTCACATGCGCCGAATTAATCAGTTCGGTCTCCACCTCTCCCCTGACCAGGCTGCAGAGTTCGTCCACCAGTGACTTCACCTCATCTGCTGTATAAGTGTCTTCCAATAACCTAAAACAAAACATAACATTAAATTGGATAGATGGGCTGGTCAAAAATGATGCGTGATGAATCCTGGAACTAGCCAGCCTACATATAAGAAAATGGTGGATCCTTGCCCACCTCTTGACAAATGTTATTTTGAGAAGCCACTAATCACACTTATTTTACCAAATTCTTATTGAATGGTGCAAAAATAAAAATTTATGCACCATTCCTCTGCTGGTTCCAAACTGACGCAGGTCGGCTTTCCCGTTTAAATTTTAAATGGATAACGCATCGTCCTCACGTAATGCATGGCAATCCACCCCGGAGTGCCTTGATCTAAATGTGCATCTGAAATTACTTTATTTTTCTTTGTGACATCACCAACAAATAAGTGTGATCCAGACTCATTTTACAAACATTGTAATGTTGTTTTGGTGTTGTCCTATTCTTTGAGGTGTATACTGAAATTTTAAAAAGATTTGCAATTAGACACTTAAACAATCGTAACATGGCTAGAAAGAAAGGAATTCTTAAATTTAAATTATTAACCGGGCAAGATTCGTAAAATAAATTATTGGTAGCATTTTTAGTAACAATTTTACGCGCACAAAATCTTTTGTAGAAATTTGCATTACACTAAAAGAATTGGTATGACGTACAAATTGCAAGTGTGAAAATTCGGTCAATATAAAATTTTTCTTATCTGGCAAAATAATTACCGTATTTACTCGAACATAAGACACACCTCATCCTACGTGCGAGATTGATTTAATAAATCTAATTTTCTTTATTTTGATCTTTAAATACAATTCTAATTTTATTTCATTCAATAACAAATAAAATATCAAACACACATAAAAGCTCACATTGTCCTGCAAGAATTTACTGGCATTTTAAACTTCAACAACATAATTTGTTCATGTAAAGCTGGACAATCCTTTTTTGACAATTCTTAACAGTAGAATTCCAAATAATCATCTGTTTTCACGTGGGAATGAATTAAAACTTATATCGGGCTCTCGTGTAATTTAGGAATTCAATTCAAAAGCTTTGCTTTTCCTATTGCTATTCATCTTTACTCCTGACAATGAATCATTCTTCTGTAAATGATGCAGATAATATACTTTTGATTTTAAACACCAGAAGGTGAGAATCTGGTAAAATATGCAAATACATAGTATACAAAAACAAAAGGAATCCTTCACTTGTATTTATGGGACGACCTAGGTTTTTGAAGCAGTGAAAAATGGATGAAAACCTTGTCTTGTATGCGAGTAAATACAGTACTTCAAAAAACATAGTAGTATTATTATTGTTGGACATCAAATTCTCAAAAGCTTCTATCATCCTCGAATTGCACCTGCTTCTCGACAAGATGGATAAAGTCAAACTTTAAAATGCATCGAGAACCTTTCTATGACGATTTAGGGCAGTGATGAAGGTAAAAAGTTTGTTTCTCAAGATCAGATGGGTAATTGAATGTATAACCAAAATGTTAAAACCTGCACATTTTGGTTATTGCATCAAAGACTGGCCAAGACGAAAGAGAATTTTTATATATATAAAATTTATAATACTTGACTTAAGCTAATAATGCCAAATGTCATTTAACAATAGTATATTCTCAATTTTTTTTTTTTTTTTCAAATTCTTTCTGCCCCATGAGCTACAAACGGTCCAATTATGGAGCAGTATGATTAACCCTCTGACAATATGGGGATAAAAAATCCGGACCCATACTCTCCAACGTTTTGATAGTTAGCTCTGATTCCTAGAAGTACAATGGGTATTGTATCGAAATAAATAAATAAATAAAACTCACGCCAAAATTGTATAGCTTCTTCATAAAGCACCAAGTTCAGTGTTAATACAATTTTTCTTATATTGCAAGTACTTTCGACGAGTATTATATCGTCATTGTCATCGTCGTCCTCAGGCGAAAAAAGAACAGGGTATTGTATCAAAGCTCTGTCTCGTTTGATTGTATTTTGGAAAAAAAATGAACAAGGAATGTGCTCAGACAAAATAATGCAATACTATGGTATGGCATGGCGTTTTTGTCAAGTCAGATCAGCGTTGTAAAAATTTGCCCATGCCATTTTTTAGATATTCAACAACACATTTTGTACTTCACATATTTTTTAAAATATCAAAAAATTGCAACGTAAATAATAAATTGTATCGTTACCTTTTCGGCCAACTCCAGATGACACTGCACTTCTGTCAGGCGGTTCTTGGTGGAGAGTAGATCTTCTTCCAGCTGCTTCTGCAATGCTGTGTTACTCACTAACGTCTTGAAGATATGGATGCAAATTAAAATTAAATTCAATTCAAATCAATTGAAAATTTTCGTCTCTTATGACAGACTTACCTCTTCAATTTCAGACTTTTCTTTTGATACCTGATCCAGAATTAGAGTTACGTTTTCTTTCTCGCTCGCCTGACGTTAATGGCAAAAATTATAACAATTGAAACTTTAACGGAAACAGACAGAGGAATGACAATCTTACTTTTCCTTTGAGATCTTTTAACTCTTCTTCCATTTCAGTTTGGGTTTTGGATAATTTATTCTTCTCCTCGATTATATTGAAAGTCTAAATGATTGCAAAACTGTATAGAGCTAGCGACTTACTGAAATAATGTAGTGTTGGCACTAACCTGTTGTTCTACTCTCTTCAGTCTCTCCTTCAGAGCTTCGTTTTCGGCTTTTAGGCGATTTATCTCCTACAAAACAGACAGAACCAACAGTCATGAGTGCAATTTAAACCTAGAAAAAGAGATTAAGCTAAAACTTACAGCCTGAAGAAGTTTGACCTGTCCCTGACCCTCCAGGATGGGCTCCAACTTGACAGCCTTGGTAGGAGACTTTGAACTTTTGTCAATGTTCTTCAGTTCCCGTTCTTCAAATTTGCTGATTTGTTCAATCAACTCTCTGCACAATTTAAAAAAAATGTAAGTGTGAGAGCATGACGACCGAATCGACTCCAGAGGTTAATATAAAGACCGTCACCTGTTTTCCAGTTCGGAGATGTCTCCATGAAGACGGAGGTGCCACCGTTCCACCTGCGTGCACAGCTGCCTCAACAGTAATGCAGTCACATGCGCCGAATTAATCAGTTCGGTCTCCACCTCTCCCCTGACCAGGCTGCAGAGTTCGTCCACCAGTGACTTCACCTCATCTGCTGTATAAGTGTCTTCCAATAACCTAAAACAAAACATAACATTAAATTGGATAGATGGCCTGGTCAAAAATGATGCGTGATGAATCCTGGAACTAGCCAGCCTACATATAAGAAAATGGTGGATCCTTGCCCACCTCTTGTAGTTTTTTTTTTGACATTTTCAAAGTGCAAAGATTGACAACATGTACAGTACTTTTGGGACAAGGTCACTTTTTGCAGAAAGTAAATTGTCTAGCAAGTTGGGATGAGTTGTAGTTGGTCCGGCCCCAATCTAAGAATGACAAAGCTTGAGTGTATCCATGCAGGAGACCATCACTCAAAAGGGAGCAAAACATCAGTAGTAGCACCAAACAAGTAAATCCAGAGGGTCTATCTGTCTCCAGAAGAAGGATACGCAAGCGTGAAATGGAAAAAATATGTTTGTGTGAGTGCTAATAGAACCAAACGATACGAGAAAGACTAAACTATAATGGAACCAATGAACTGTAGGCTATTTCTATTACGCTCTACCCTCTCTAGGTTGTGTGGAAATTGCATTTAATAAGTGTAGGAAAGTATGGTGTTTCCCAAGTTTTCAATAAAATCTATTTTACTTTATTAATTAGTCATTATCGTGCACATCATTCTCTGGCCAAATCCACGCGACTGTCTGTAGCTGATGAAGAAAAGACCGAAAAGAGGCAGCCAGGATCTCGCATTGATTTCTTTATGTGTGAAACACGATTAGACATGGTTTCGGCAAGGGGACTTTTGCATAACATGAAAGAATTTTTGTTAATATAACATTTGAAGTACTCATACTTGATCGGATTTCAAACAAAGACAAATTTTTATGATTTCGGAAATTTTCAATTGACCATTTTAGAAATTTGCAAGACCTCTATTGTTGATACTTTATCTCCAAATGTAAAGAATTGCTGCACGATCCTATATAGACACAATTGTAAATACTGTGCAATATTTCTCTTTATTGAGTAAGTCGGGAAGGGCTGCTGCATGACTTTGCCAGCAAATGGGAGATTATGAGGGCAGGGAAGGAAATTCAATAATTTTCAGTAATCATTTCTGTAAGTTAGAAAACAAAAGCCTGTTTCCGAGATAGGGACAAGTTATCTCAGTTTGGAAAGTTTGTGGGGAAGGAAAGATTTCAAAAATTACAATAACCAATTTGTTTGTACTTAATGTCTTTTAATAAAATTCAATTAAAATTGCAACAATATTAATTATTCCCATGTCTTGCAAGGTTGCCAATATCTTTTTCCACACAGTAGACTGTAGTGACTATTTTTTTACGGTTGGATGCTCTTCGAGATGGCATCTTTGACTTTTATTCAGATGCGGGCTTTGCAGTTCTAGTTGGATCCTAGCAGAGTCGAAGATACCCAATATTGGTAAGGTTTCTGGTTAGAATATTCTTGGTCCCCCATGAATGCTGAAAGGATACTACTCACTATGGATTTGCTCACGAACACAATGATGAGAAATGGGACACGACAATCGAGTCGGACGACTCGTGTCCAGAAGTCAGCCAGTGTATGTCTGATACTCTCCAGAATATGAGATCCCATAGAAGTTTTTTCTCGCCAAAGTTCAACAGTACACAGGGTCAAAAAAATGATGTCTTAAGAAAGTAAAATTACAACAGTCATCATATAAATAAGGGCCATCCATTAATTACATATAGTTCCCAAGTCATTTTGACCACCACAAATTGTCACGTATGGTACAATGATATACTTTTAGCACAATCCCCTTTAATTGCAAATACAATAGTTCGTGGACCCTCAACATTCAAGAAACTGATTAAAATTGATAATTTATTCACGCGACAAATAAGCAAGCTTGTAAGAGCAAATTTGTATGCTCCTAATACCACTGAAAAGTTCACTTAGATGCTCCCCATTGTGTATAATGATGTACGTACTTTTCTTTATCCCTTAAATTGTAATTAATGGATGATCTCCAAACAAATGTGTAATTTGGGAAAGGCAGGCGAACACGTAAACAGGTCTGTCTGTCAGCACACATATTTACGGTTATTCTGTAGTAGGTGAATGTCCAAATCACTCCCTGGGAATTAGGGTGGTAAGATGCCGCAGCCACACAAACTCGTTGCAGTCAGCTTTAATGGCACGGATACTAATGACTGTCGATGCACTTGCACACCAACTTATGCATTTACATTAACTTTACCCCACAATGGCACTAGTTATTAAAAATTACCCCAGAGTAAGCATCGGTTAGATTTTCACACACTTCCCAATGGCATCATTTTTTACTCCAAGTATCGTCAGACTTACAAGGTGCCATGGGAAGTTTCTTGTCTAATTCGGAACTCTCCGAAGTATACTCTTCTAAATTTTTGGCTACGTATAGTTGCTCTTTACAGTCGGGTAATTTTTGCCTTCTTTAAGTTTCAATCTACAATAAAAATCGACTGGTATAAACAGACGGAATGATACTTCCACCCAAACTAGATTCAAATCCGGATTCCGCACAATAGATCAACACTTTCCTAGTTAAAATGCCAATACAAGATACAACTCCGAGGATTCCTTCACACTTTGTACATTGAAAACAGATCAGTAACAAGTAATCCTAACGGCCACAAAGCAAGTTTCATATTGCACCTCGCCAAGAAGTAACGGGTCATTCAATAATGCCATTTACTAACAATAAAGCATTCTTCGAGAGACGACAGTAAACTAGAAATGGAGACGCAAAATATGTCCAAACGACTGGTATTTGATCGGTAACGTGAAAACATCTCAACATGTGTACCCAGTCCAAGGCCTTGTGTACCCAGCCAACTACAAGACCTCATCATACCTCTCATCGATTGGTCATTATTACGTCACGAATGAGGGCACGTTACGTCACGGATGGGGGCATTGTTACGTTAAACAGTGTATTAGTAGCATAATGCGTAAAATAATCAATTTCTGATGTTATATGGTAGCAATTAGAAGACGTAATTACCTTAGACTTTCGACGTCTTCGAAGCACTTCTCGACCGAACGAATGCGTTGCGTGCGTTGAAATTTGGCAAAACGAAGATAATTCAACACCAAATTCTGGTGTTGCTCGTTCAAACCCAATTCGTTGGCCTGCAAAAGATCAATTGCGTCAATAAAGGTCCTTCGGTGGCGTTCTCGTCGAAATGTTTACTTACCATCTTCGACGAATCTCCGGACGTGAACCCGAATACAAAATGGACGGAATCGTTGCCTTGGTTACCGAATACAAACAATGATGTCACGTGCGAGATGGAGACGCCTCTCGGCTTCTTGCGTAATTACACGTGAATTAAATAAAATTATCGTAGGTCATTCCTCTACCGTAATGTCCATTGTTTAAGTGCAGGATCGAACGACAATATTACGCACTGCGTTTTAAAGCCCGTCGTCTTATTTTTAATTTCCGTTAATTACGCGTGATTCCGAAAGATGGCGCGACGTTTCCGCGGCTAAAGTTCCGAGTAATTAGTATAGACGCCGACAGATGGCATTCGGAAAAATTGGCAATTAAATTTAACAGTTACGTCACGTGTCGACGACCTCGAAATTTTTATCAGCAGGCGGCGCTGAAGGATGAATCCATTTTTTTCGGTCGCCATTTTTTTTTTTTCGTATTTCGAATGCAGACGTCTGGTCTTTAGTAGTTGCAAGAATCCGAAAGGCATTCTATTTACAATATTAATTTATTCTAATTATCCCGCAATCGTCGATGGAACAACATTTCTAAAAATATGTTTCGGGGATTTTTTCCTATTTTTATCTTCCGTTTCTCCCTGCGTGGATCGTAAAGCGCTTTCTAAATATAATTTGCTCATTTTTGCAGTGGGATCTTAAACGTATAACCTTATTTGGACGGTTCCGGTTGAGAGAAAATCGATGAAACGACCTTGACATAGCGTGAAAGTTCCCGATCGATTTTAGGGTAAAATTTCCCTAACCTTTCGATAAATTGGGGAAATTTCGAATAATCATTTTTTAAGGCATCCCAGAAGGGAAATTTTACCAGGTTACAAAAATTGCTCGAACGGGAGGTGGCAGAAATCAAAGTCGCTTGTTGAAAGGGAAGATAGTTTTTAATTATTTCAGCAATAATAATCGCAAAATATGCTTAAATAGGGAAATTTGACGAGTTATCACTTCGGGATAAAAAGGAAAAAAAAAAAAAACGGTGTCAAAGTCTCCTTGGCACCGCGTAAAGTTTCCGATCGATTTTAGGGTAAAATTCGGGGAAATTTTCCTAATCTGCCGACGAATTGGGGAAATTTTGAATAATCACTTTTCCTTTTTTTTTTAAGGCAACGTAGAAGGAAAATTTACGCGACTAAAAAAAAGTTACGCGGTCAAAATATCCCTGTGAAAATACGTAAAAAATCCCGAACAGGGAAATGATTTTTATGCAACAATTATTCAAAAACATGACCTCTGCCAAACTGTTCCATTTTTCCGTCATAAACACGCATCAATCGGGGGCAGTGTCACGTAACAAAAACAAGTTCTAGAAGAGGTTCGGAAAGGGTACTGTCTGCAAGTTCCCTTTCGATTGGGCAACAGGTTACCCGAGTACCGTGACCCGTTGCAGGATAATTGATGTAACGAATACGTAAACACAGCCTATCTGAGGTACATTTTGGGTAAACGATGCCTCGAAAAGTTTCCCTAACGTGGGTCGCGAATGAAAAGTAAAGACGCGCTAGTGTTACGTTCCTCGTTAAGGAAAGTGACACGATCTGCGAACCGCTCCAAAACAAACGTAAAATACGGATTCCGAAGGGGTTGGGTTACGCTGTAAGGGTCATAGTTTCGCAAGACGAATCCCTTCAATGACGTCCCTAAACACATATGTCGCGTTATAAACAGATGTATTGATGAGTTGCCAAGTACGTAACGTTACGTAAATAAATTATCAATGCTTGGTATTCAATATGATAACTTGATGGGTAGTGTACGGGTACGTTGCAGAAAAATTCAAAAAAATGACTTTTAAGAGCTGTTGCTCAATAACTCGTGCTTCCTCCCAACAGAAATGTTATTGTAGTAGTTTCGTCACGTGGAACACCTACGTGCGTTTGCATCAGACGCTATTTATACAACACGTGACTAAGTATATGACATGGATTTTCTATGTTATCTTTATTTAAAGGCATAGAATCTTTATCACATATTATGCACCTATTATAAGCAAAACGGTTAAGTGTACATGTGTATTCCTGCATGAAGAGCACGTGTCTCTGAAGAAATCACTATGGATCAAAGTTTCTGATGAGAAAGTAAAGGATTTTCGAGATAAGGCAACTTATAATGTTATCTTAAGTGTTCCGATATATATGAAAATATCTTAACGATAAACGGAAGCTTCAAATTCTGTTTAAATATTTGCTTGCATTAATACAGCAGTACTGTTATGTTTGTGCACTACAGCTGTTCCCGTAGAAGCATCTACTGTAACAGCTTTAACCATCTCCTGGTGTTTTTTCCAGCACCAGGTTTATGCAAATTAAAGCTGTTTCGTAATATGTAACCTAAGCTATAGCTTTAAACCTCTAGTGTAAGGCCCAAAGTCGCTAGGTCCTGTTACTATTATTTGACGGAAGTGGAAAGACCTCGTTAGTTATGCCGTAACACCCAAACAAATTTAAATCTGGCCAATCACTTTGCGTACACAAAACTGAACCGAACATACAAAACGAAGCATTATTGGTCTTCGACAGATAGACTTTTATTTTCTTAACCAATAACATCAAAATACACAATTTGGTCAATTTTGGTTAGTCAAACAAGCTCGCTCAATCACATAGAAAAATAATTTTCCTTCCTTTTACCACACCGTAAGGAAGTGTCAATAGACTTTAAACTCCAGTTGGTTCATAATTACAGATAAAACAGTGGAGGGGTTATACAGCCTTACAAAATATCCTCGGACGAGAACAGAGTTTTCATTTCGTCCAAGCACTTTATAGGAAAACAAAACTAATATTTTTATTAACAACAATATATATACTATAATATAGATAACTACAAACACATCAAGATTTAACAATTTGTATGTTAGATATATGTTTATGTATGCTTTTTCTTTGTATCCATAAAAAATTATTATACACTAAACAATCCTCCACTTGCACACTCTATGTACATCTGTAGAAATCATTTAAATGCATTATATACAATAAAAGGTTTGTATATGTCTCCAAAACAACATTACGCTGATTTTACGTGAGAAAAGATGGCTTACGTGTTAGACAGATACTGCAGATGGCCAATGTTTGGCCAGAGATTACCATATTTTTAAGAATAGAAACCTGCAGTTTGATGGAGAAGCATGCCCGACTAAAAAATATACAAAGGGATGTGCCAAGAATGTAATTTGTGCGAGTGCCAAACCACTAAAATTCAATTTTGCAAAATCTTTGTGGATAAAATTACATTGGTGGAGTTAATCCTTGTATAAAATATACATCCCTGATACTCATTCATCCTCATCGACTGGTCCCAGTCATTTATTAATGAGGGAAGCAGTAGAAAGTGTGGATACTCAATTGGGAAGCAATAAAAATGATGGATACTCAATTAGGAAGCAATAAACACTAAGAATATTCATTAAGAGATTTTATGAATTAAAACTAAGCTGCACTGAGGTAGGTTAAAAGTATTCCTTTCGGGGATTTCAGGTTTAAGTTATGCATACTAACCGGGGCTTAACGTCAACGGTTACAAGTTCTTTATAAAAGTAAAAACATGTAAACGTTATCAAAATTTAACTAAAGGTTATGGTGGTAGCCTAATGTGTATACTATGTTGTAATGTTATGCTACAGGTACGCTATTTTGCAGTTTTGTGATTGTTTTTCTCTAGATGGAAACAGACAAACTGTTTCCATATAGAAAAAAACATGTAGTTAATGAGAGTCAGTTAACTCAACAGTATAATGTCTCAACGAGACTACAACAATGCCAGCAGCTGCAACTGAACAAAATATCAACAGAAGACAATTTTATACTTCCATAATGAACCAATGATGATGATAAATCAATAGCAGCTGTGATAAGAGAATATCATAAAGATATCTAATGATAGCTCATCTGTAGAAGCTAAAAATTCAGTTGTCAAGAGATAATTCTATTGTATAGAAAACTTTCATGAATAAAAGCATGTTTTAATTGTTTTAAAACAATAAATCTGACTAGAAAGTTTATTACTATTGTGGTTTATAAGAATTACCACTTCACCAAACTAGGAAGTTTAATTGGAATATATATAGATTACGGTGAGACTTGGGCAAACAAGAATTAACAGATTCTTAAATCTAGAATTATGTAAAAAAATATTAACATGATTTCATTGTAAACATAACTTAAAAACAATTTTATATATATGTATATATATATTTCATAGAGTATGATTAAACTATATTTTTCTAATTAATTTTCTTAGTGTTCTTTGGAGTGGTTAACAATGTAAATGATGGATGAACACGCTCAAAAATCAACAACCAATTAGAACAATTTGTTATTTTAAATCTCGGCAATGCTAAATTTGTGACTTTGCATTATGCAAGAGCATAGCAAACCAAGATTCAAATGTGTGATTGCGCAAAAATTTAAAAATAAAAATTTGCTTTGTGCAAATTTTTAATTTTTTTTAATCACTTTACTGTAATTCTGGACAACTTTTGATTATGTCGTTTAACAAAATATTGCTCTTAGTTAGACATTTTTGTTAATTTAGCAAACTTCTGTAAAGTGGAAGTTTATTTTTACAATTTAAAATTTTGGCAATTTGATTTTGTACCAAATTTTGATTTGGTAGGAATGACGACATTTCAAAAATTCCTTTTGATCCGAAAGATTATCAAGTTTCATTGAAAATTCGTAATGTAAAATTTGCAAAAATGCCTATTGACAAATAAAAGTACAAAATAGATATTGTTATTATGATTAGTAGTTGCTTTGATTAAAAATATAATGAATTGGAAATAAAAAGAATTAAATTTGCATTTTTACTGCCTCTTCTTTTTTGCATTCTTTTCCTCTCTCCAGGCATAGATACTGAAAACACAAATAATGAAAATAATGGAAAGGAAGAGGAAAAGGAATTTGTAAACCGGCCATTCAGCAGAGATCATTTGATCATTGTTTTCAAGCTTGTTGCGTCTCACAGTCATGTCATAAAGGGCACCGTTCATCTGTTCATTTGTTGCCAAGATCCCTGCGATGTGCAGAAGTTGGTGGCTGTGACCGATTATGTCAAATTTACCTGGTGCCAGACGTTCTGGAAGATGAGAGGCATAAAAAAATGCTATCATGAAGGAAAATAAAAACTGCCAGACATAATGCATAGTGGAAGGTGAATCTGGATTAGAATCATACAAAATTCTATAAACCAGGGGTATGCTATCCCAAATCCAAGGAAGGATAAAGGCACCAAGGCGAAACACTTTAATCCAGAAGAGGTTTTTAATGAAACGTGACCAACAAGCTAGAGTTATACATAGAATTGCACTGGCAAAACAAACATTGAGAAAATGATCAGAGAGCCAAGTATTTAAAAGGTCTTCTGGGAATACATAAGCTCTGTACAAAAGACCAGCACCAAAAGAATAGAAACTGAGAGCGCCATAATCAAAAAAGAACCAAATATGTCTAGCCATATTAGATATACTGTAAAATGTATGTGCCATAGCACTTATCAGAGGATAAGTGCAGACTGTTATCATATAAGAAACGAAACTCCAAGTGTAGGGGTGTGATGTGACGTCCAATGTATCGCATATAGCAGCCAATTTCCAACAGAAGTAAAGCGTCGGAAGAAAGTGTGTCCATATATTCAGAGTTTCATTTGTCGCCACTATAATGCTTGTCAGACACTGTTTTATGGTACATTTGGGTGGACGATAACCTTTCAGTATGGCCACTTCTCTCATGTCAGGCGGTAACTGGTCTTCATTTAGTAGCTGTAAATGTCTGGAATTCAGAAGCCGATTTAAACTTGTCATAGCCATGTTGTTCAATTTAGTGGGCCTCCAACTGGTAAAAAAGACATTAATGAAACATTAAAAAAAATGGCTAAAGCCTTAATTAAATATTAAAATTCCATGCTATCAAAATTGATATTGCTTAATAATGAAAAAGTAGCTTTCTGCTCCATTAAACAATTAAGCTGTTCAGTTCAGTTAACCATGTATACAAGGTTTATTTAAAAAAAACATAGTAGTAAAGTTTGTTTAACAGTAACAATTCCCAATAACTATTTTAGCACATGTTACTAAACAGTCTTGTTATATAACCCATTGCTTCATTCACAAAATAATTTTCTAAATTTTGAAAGTTCAGGGTGAATGGCATTCATGAAGACAGATGAAGGAAATCTATTGTGCGTGACGTTCTTGGGAATCAGGCCAAAATTGTATAACCACATTACACAAAACTGAGATACTTACAAAATTGAAGTTGCGCAAAATCGAGTTAGCAAGCATTTTGCTTGTTAAATAGTTTAAATCCACAAGATTAAGATATACTTACTTTTTAAAATGAATAAATCCATTTATCCGAGTAACAGTAATCATATTCAAAACAGATAACGTCTTGTCCGTTCACATTAAACTCGTAACAAACACAGAAATGACTCCAAGAATGAGTTCAATATTACAATTTTATATGCATTTGTGTGGGTTGGAAGAAGCTAATTTTAAAAATTACTAACAAAATAGAAGTCATTCGAGTCAAAAGGCTAATTTATAATTCATTGTCATACAACTAAACTATATAAATTACTGTAAAATCTGTTACGTAAGTTGGGATTAGGTATTACAAAAATAAATTATCTTGTGTAATTTTATTACATAATCTAATAAACTGTTTAAAACAATTAATTTTAAAATATATATTAAAAATACACCATTGAAAGTTGGGAAGCATTTTTTTCATGACTATAGCTTTGCATCATTATTATATATGTATATCTGAGTCAACTGTAGATAAGAATGAAGGTCATCAACTACATATTTTCTAGCCACACAATTATGAATACCTTTACATGTTTTCTAGTTTATGTACATATTTATTTACTAAAAATGGAATATTGTATTTGGTTTTAATTTTAAATTTGATACACAATTACAAAACAAATTATCAATATACTTATCAAACTTACTGATGCTTACTATAAATATTAATTAAAGCTTTAGATAAGTGTTTGATAATGATTATGAAGCTATAATGAGAGGAATATTATATGATTCATTATCATATTCAAAGCTTTAAAAACAAAATCGTATTCAAAAATCGAGAAATTTTGAGAGAAAATGTATAACAAATTATATAACTGTAGAATATAACATAAATTATATTGAAGAGTATTAATTTTACTGTTATAACGCTTTATATTATGTAGAGCTATCATCCACGTGATGTAATTTTTATATATATATATATGTATATAAGGTAATTTTAGACAGATCAAAAATAATTTTGATTAAAATATTCTTAACTGAGTTCTAAGCAAGAAATTAATGACCCTTCAGTATTTTAAAATACGGCTACGGCTACAGTTATAAAATATATAAAAGGACAAATAATTAAAATAACAGTCGAGATTTTTAGTAATTACTCTTGTAAATAATAATTTCAATTAAATATGAACACTAGTATATTCAGCTGTGTTTATACAGAGAAAAATATCTGAGAAAGGTGGCAATTACGTACAGGAAATCAATTTCTACTTCTACAATTGCAGTCGAGGATATGTTCTCTTGCTAGTTTTCCTTTCTACAATAGGAACGATTAGATACAATTAAAGGCAGTTGACGTAGCAAACTTGATTACAACTACAGATTTTAATATCACAGCCTGTTGATATGAGAACACACAGAAGAAAATTCTGTTGAATTTCTATTATATAAGTATAAATAACTGGTCAAGCTCTAATTTAAAATATATAATAGCCATTATTTTACCATACTCAATAAGCTTTGCTAATTTAATAGTCACGAGGTAACAATCTCATTACTGGGATAAATGAAATATTAAAATGTATTTACATTCATTAGCCATCTGCAAGAGTTGAATTTTCCTAGAACTATTAAAATATATTTAAAGATAGATTTAATATTTGATAATTTATAAAATAAACTACTAATTTAGAAAATCTGTTTAATAATTTGAAATCTCCTGGTTTGTACATTTAATAAATCGTTTTACTAAGAGAAAAAAAATTAAAATTTCTTTTAAGCTAATTTAAGGTACAAACTAATCTTACATACTCTAATTATTCAGTAGAAAACAATTCATTCTTGGACAAATCCATATAATACATAGTTTTGTAGCATATTTTGCTATTTATTATTAAATATCCACTGTTTATAATTGTTAGATTTGTTGTTTTTTTAATAAAATGCTATTTATAAATATTTTATTGATACTATGCTAATATTTTCAGTAATATAATTTATAAAGGATGGTCCAAAAACCAGTTAACTACATTTTCTACACTCCTGATGTCATATAAATTTTAAAATTAATAATTTTAAAGTAAATAAAATTAATATTTGAACTTAAATTCTACTTAGCTTAGATAGATATATAAATACGATCAGAAACATACAACGCCATCCGAACAATCAGACAAATGAAAATACTAAAATATTATAGTCCAACCAAGGTTAAAATGTTTTAGAAATTTTCTCTCTTTATCTAATTCTTTATTCAAATTAGAATAGTGTTGTGATCTGATTACAAGGCAAAATGTCTCAAAAAAAAAGATTTAATAATGATTAAATTCAACACTTAAAATTAAATCTTATTGTATATAAATCAGCATCAAGTTGCTTGACCTTCCCGGCAACATTTATATTTTTGGTGGCACCAACTATTATGATAGTTAAAAACATAAAGTGTTTTAAATAAATTATTATAAAATGGCAAGAAGCTTAATTTTGAGGGTAGGGATGAGTTTTATAGAAAATTGTAAATGCTAGTACAAAGTAAAATGGTTTAACCAGTAGGGTCTTGTTAAATACAAGACCCTACTGGAAATACTGGTACACACTACCCCCATTATCTCCCCACTCTTTCAACCTTTAACCACCAAAATTTGATAGCATCAATCCCTCTAATAAACAAATCTCTCTGCAAAATTTCAAAATTTTTGACGAAATGCACAGGAATTATTAAGCTTCAAAGAGGGTGAACAAAATCGTGCCACATACATACACTAACATCCACATATACAGAAATTGCCCCCAAATTTTTTTGCATTTTGATGTTTCAAAGTGTCCCGAGTCCAAAAAATCTTTGGAGAGGGGGTCATTTTTTGATCGATCACCATACTTTCCCTCTATTACATATAACAGCCGGGAAAGTAAAAGTTAATAGACGAAAATATTACATAAAATATGCACACATTATTGTAGATTATGCAGATTATGTTAAAAATTATTCCATTTAAAGAATATAATCTATACATTATTTAAATTAAGGAATAATTACAATCATGTCTCATTAACTAAGCATAAAATCTAGGAAATTTTTATTTTAATCCATTATGTATACTTATTAACTGGTATATTTCTGGACCATCTCAGTGAACGACTACATTTATAATTAATATAATGAATATAGAATGGCCCAAAAATCAGTTAACTGCATTTAATGTTGTAGATGCACTTCTAAATTCAGTTTACGACAGGTGTTCAAACTAAACACAAAAACACGATAAAGCATAGAAGTAAAAATGTATTCTGTAATTAATTTAGTTAATTAAATGTAATTTTTTCTTTATCACAGTTAAATTTTTTATGCCAGCCTGCATATTTTTTTAGATATTAAATTAAAAACATAAGAGTGTATAAATTTGTTTAGATTATACAAAGATCTTTACAGAGGTTATAAACCAAACGCAAATAGAGATAACGCAAGCTTTTATGTTGAAACCCTTTCCCGTCTATTCTTTCTCAATTATTTAACACGTTTACCCATTAGAATTTCCTAAAATTCATGTAATAATCTAAATAAACTTTAACAAATAAGCACAATTAATTTTTCAAAAAATAATTTACCTATATTATAGAAGTGCAATATAAAAAGTAAAGTTTCTTTCTGAATCATCAGACTCTTTTCTGAAAAAATAAAACATAAATAAATGGTTAGAATCGAATAAATATAGAGAGATTAGATAAAAACAAAATTATCTTATTGGATAATTCAACACATGATCCGCGTTTTATCAGCCAGATAGCCTTTCGCACTTTTTCTATTTTTAAACCGCGAAGAAATTACCTTTCGATCCTTGCTGGATTACTCAGTTTACATAACCACTTTTAAAACGATCAGACCATCAAATCAAAAATAGAATCGACTAGTCAATAAATATCATAAGTTACATATCAGGAACCTGTCAAGAAGATTTATCCCACTTAAGATACCGGAAGGAGATAAATCATGCATTATTGGAGAAATATTTATATAGATCTATTGACGTACAATATCATCTTTAAATAAAAATATACTAATCACTTTAATACAAAAGTAATCATAACTTTTGAAAGTTTTTTACTTTGACTTACTGCCGGAAGATAGGGAGGAAAGAACAACGCCGTTATTCTCCTTGCATAATTACTGGCGTGACGACTTTGTCGAGAAAGATAAAACCAAGAGGAAAAAACTAAAAATTCTTTTCTTCTTCTGTATTTTTAAAAATATATATTTCCGTTTGACATTCCACGACGAAACATTATCCTCTCGTAATGTTTTTAAAATGAGAAAACGACATTTAATGTCGTAACTGTAAAGTTAAGCAAGATTTACTTAAAATTTATGCCTAATCATCCCTATTTTACTTGTTGCAAGTAAGAATTATTAAAAAAAAAAAAAAAAAAAGAGTGACGTTAAATGCCTCGAGCGGTAGTCCAGAAAAACAAAACATTAACGACTAAAAAATTTTTATAATAAAATTGTTATATACAAAATAAAATAGTTCCAGAATTATTTGGAAATATTTAAATAAAAAATAGATCTAGGACTGGGCTAATACCGAAACTTTTGTGGGAAGTTTTGGCCGGCGTGCACAAAAGCCAGCAGGGTCGGTAGATCGTACCGGACCAAAGATCGACCGAATCTTTTTGCATCATTTACTTTTGTAACAAATGAAACGTATAGAATGTTTTAACGATTTTATTTTTTATTAGTAAACACATTAATTTGCGGGGGAGAAACCACTACAGACTACTTGTCACGGGGAAAAATCCCCAACTCACCGTCTCAACAGCAAGGAACAGTGCACATCACATGATACAGGATCACGCAATTCTGGGCTACCAAGTTTTCTCCAGTTGTGGGGGAAAATCCCCAACTTACCCTCTCAATGGCAAAGAATGGCGCACATAACATAATACAGGATCACCCAATCCTGGGTACAAATAGGTTCTCGTTGGCCAAGTTTGGAATGCTTTTTTAAATAGTAATACATAAGAGAATGAATTAAAAAATTCTGCTTAATAAACAAAAAACCTGGCTTGTTTAAGAAAGTAATAGGAAGGGAAAGAGTGAAATCATATACCAGTCGACCCCCCTATAACACAGTTGGAATTCATATAAAACGGAATAATCAACAGTGTTATAGGGGGTCGACTGGTACTGTGAATTTAAAGGGTTCTAAATTCATATTTACGAAGAAATTTAGATTTAAAACGTTTCTAATTTGTAAAAACGTCATTTAAAGCGCCGAATAACGTAGAAACAGACGAATAATTAACAATTTAACGCCTACGGGGGTTACTACATGCCGAGGAAATGTGCAAAGTCTCATTCATAAAATCGTTTGGCATTCGGTGCGCGTGACCTTGAACACGAAATAACTCCATAAACCATTAAAATTAAGTAATTTCTTACGTTTAAAGTATTAAATACGTGTTTTAGATTAAAAAATAAACCGCCAACGTTCCGAATATAAATTACTTTTATAAGCTCACCTGACATCTACAACTGGCAGACGACTTTTTACTCGGTAAACATAACGCTATCCACATTTTTGTTTAATAGCGCCCCCTTTCGAGCTTAATCAAACGTCGTTGATCCGAATCACGAATCAATTTTTTTTTTTTTTGTTTTTTTGTTATTGCCAATTATGACGAATTTCGGATCGTGTTTCACGTCGGGGGTGTAATATATCT